ATATAGTAATTACTATAAAAGAATAGTATTATTTTATTATTCTAGATATTTTATTTTATATTATAAAGCTTAATAATTAAAAGCTTCTATAGATATATTATTTAGCTAATAAACTTAAGCTATCTATTAGATTTAAATTAGTTATTTCTAATTTAAATTATTATTTATATCTAGTATATCTTTTTAGCTATTTTCTTACTAAAGAGTTTTTATACTTTTTCTATAGCTAATTTAGATTATAGATAATTAATAGAATTAGAAATCTTTTTAATTATTCTAACTCTAAACTAGCTATTTATAGCTCTCTAAAGAAAAAACTATTAATAATATATACTATTTATCTATAATTAGTTATAAGCTTTTATTACTTTCTTTCTAATATTACTATTCTTCTTCTAGCTATTATTCTAATTATACTTTTTCTATAGATAAATATATATTCCTTACTCTATATAGATAATATATTAATACTTTTAGTACTATAATCTATTAGTTCTAGAAGGAGAGATATATAGTACTAGCTTTATAATATATAGTAGTAATATATAATTATATAGTTTCTCCTAATTCTATATAAACCTATTAATAGCTTATATAACTATTTTAATTTCCCTTCTTTAGATTACTATAAATAATAAATATTAATTTTAAAGATAAGATTTAATCTTTTTAATAATATAAGTATATTAATATTATTTATAAATAATAAATAGATATTATATAAGATAGATAAATAGCTCTATTATATTTAGTATAATACTATAGATTATATAGTATTAAGATTAAATATATTAATAGAGTAGGTTTTAAAGATAGTAAAAGATATAAATAAGGATTTTAATAAGATTTTATTTAATTAGGTTTTTAGCTAAGATTTTATTAAAATACTAAGTAAATAATATTCCTAGTAGGAATATTAGAAATATTAATTAAATATTAGATAAATAGATATTTTTTATAAGATATTCTAAATTTCTAACTAATAGATTAATAAACTCTTAGTAATAGATCTTACTCTCTATCTTTTATTAGTATAAAAATTTACTTATTAAATTTTAATAGATCCTACTAGGAATTATTATAAAATTACTAATAGGAATATTTAGATTAAATCTATTTAAAATATTAAATAGTATAATTATCTAATTATTATATTAAATTAGATTATAGATATAATTTAGAATTATAAAGAAAGATATTTAAAATAGATCTATTTAAAACTTATAATTATAAAGCTATATAGAGTATATAAAGCTATATCTACTTATATAATCTAATAATAATATATCTATATTAGAATATAGTTAAGGGGTTAAAGAGAGTATTTAGAATAAATCTATTTAAAAATCTAGCTATATTACTCTATACTATATACTGCTATTCTAGAGCCTATATTATATACTGCTCTATATATTATTAGTAAGCAAAGTATATTATAACCTGTATTACAGCTCTGTCTAAGGATAAGGATAAAAAGAAGTTCCTCTATAGCTTCTTTAAGCTATACTATTCACGACTTCCTAACTATATTGAGCAAGATCCCGCTTGCCAACCGATAGACTCTATCGCAACTAACTGGTTAAATGATGCGCTCTCCGGTTTTAGGAGCTATTGTAATTTTCAAATTGGCATTGACAATGCAGATGATCAAGTTGGGGTTATGAGAGAGGGGTTACCGGACTCTCATCTGTGGTTCGCCGGAGAGCATACTTCCCCTTTAACCGAGCTGGGTACAGCAACTGGAGCGTATCTTAGTGGTGAAAGAGTTGCTTTGAGAATTGTAGAATGTTATACGGGTCAGTAGGTTACTGTGGAGGCTTCGAAAGGAACAGCTTGATTCCTTACGTGAGGGGTAATTAAGAATAGTTTCAACAGGCTAGATTGACATACCCAATCACTTGATGCTGCGCTCCATGGTACCTCTGAAGAAAGCCGTGGCTCTGGCGCTGTAGATTTCTCCTAGCGGCGATTAGACCAGAAACACTTGGCTACGCCCAAGTGCAGGGCTGTAAGGGTGTCGTTGCCGAAATCATCACACCCAACGATGGTGGTGTTACTCCAATGCTCGTTGTATTTATTTTTCTTGCCTCTCAAACTGATGCACCATCCTCGGGAAATTTGCTAGAGGGGTCAATACCACCAGGATGGGATTATATGTACGGGGCAGAAGACCTCCTTCGACCCCGTGTGCCCTCCTACATGGTACCGGCAGTATTCGTGCCTCTTTCTCGACTTCCTGTCAACGCAAATGGGAAGACGGATCGCCGAGCTTTGCGGAATAAAGCAGGACAGAAAAGCAGGGGAGAGCTGCATGCGTACTCGTTGTCTATTCCTACCGTGTGCCCACCGCAATCTGCGGAAGAAATTGCATTGAACCAAGCCGTCTGTCGTAACCTTGAACTCTCCAGCACAAGCATAAGCATGCAGAGTAACCTTTTTTACCTGGGAGGGGATTTAATCACAGCTATTAAAGTAATCGGACTTCCCAGAGAGTCGGGACTGTGCTTGTCCGTGGAAGATGTCTTTAAGACTCCCCAGCTCCAGCAGTTAGCAGACGTATCGCGGAATCATCACCCCATCAGGCTGCCACATTATACACCCCTTTCTCATTGTTGCCTCAAACGCCGCAAGAAATCCTTTTAAAAGGTGCGGCTGAACAATGTGACGTGGATTTACAATGGTTGAGGATGCATGCCCTTGTACTCCAATGCAAGAATCCCTGGTTGCATCAAGTGTGAAGGTCGCAGGTAGCTATAGTATGGCAACCATGTGCTTCCGAACCAGCCAGAATACTCATATTGGCTGTCTCCAAGCTGCGTGGGAAGCAATATATGAAGCTAATGCTGTTCTGAGAACGGGATCTATCGTTGGTCAAGCCAATGAGATTATTCAGGTAGCTCTCAAAGACCGGCTTCAATTGTCCACGGATCCAAGTCCTCCAGCGTTCAGCCTCGGGAAACAGCTTTTTAAGAACACATAGAATCAGGAAAACCGAAAACTACTCCTCTATATGCATCACGCACTGTATGATGGGGTGTCGCTAGATTTAATCTTCGAGCAAGTCAAGTCGGCCTATCAAGGGCATCAGCTCAAGTCTATTGAGTTCAGGGAATTCGTTGGCTTCACCTTGAAAACTGACAAGGATGCTTGCGGAAGCTTTTGGAAGAAGGAGTTTGAGGCCATGGATGCTGCCAAATTCCCCCTGCGCCAACGTGCATCCAGATCACTTTCGCAGCGAGAGACTTTGTCCCACAACATACCGTTACCGGATATGTCCAGATGCGATTACACCATGTCCATCATTGCCCAATTGGCGATTGCCACCATTTCCAGACACTACACATCAGCTGTTAATGTTTTATATAGCACAACGCTTTCGGGTAGGAATATAACTGTCAAAGGCATCGAAGCTATCGTTGGGCCAACCATTATAACAATCCCATTACAAGCCCGCTTGTTCCCTCAGATTCCGTTTCCGATAACTTAGAAGAAATACAGTGCTATTTACCTAACCTGACGCAACATAAGCAGACAGGTTTATTAACCATCCGGTCGCTAAATACTGATACTGCGACTGTATATAACTTTGGATACTATATGGTTATACAGCCACCAAATGTGGTCGAGGACTCTAACTTTAAAGTTCTTAAACCTCTGGATCTCAATATTATTAACACTGTAAAACCTATATCTTATCCTTTAGCTCTTATGCTCACATCCTCGGCGGATAAAAGAACACTGAACATAATGAGCTATATTAACACAGCGTACATGGGCAGTGAGGGGATCGCGAGGTTATTGTATTACTTCCGTACTGTTTTTTATTAACTTGTGTATTAACTTATAAATAATCTGAACAAACTGCTCGATCAGATCGATATCATTAATTCACATGACCTCGCGCAGCTTGCTATTAAAATTAAGACAATTCCTGCAATGATCGACAAGACTCTTAATCAGTTGGTCTACGAATGGTGCGCTGTGCAGCCTCAGAGCCCTGCAGTTAGCGCTTAGGATGGAAACTTTAGCCATGAGATGTTGTGCAGGTTTAGTTCTTCACTCGCTCGTTATTTAACTACCACTTGTGGAACAAAACGTGGCACCTTCGTGATATGCTTGGAAAAATCCTGCTAGATGATTATCGCTATGCTAGCTACTCTCGTGGCCGGTTCTGCTTGCGCACTGGTTGATCTGTTGCATCCGCAAGCTAGGATCAGAAATATTATCCAGTAAACTAATGCTAGGGGCCAGAACAAGTAGAGGGGGGACACAATGTCGGCAGAGTGATCGGGCTGTTCATCGTCCTAATGTCGCATCGAGTTTATATAGGCTATATAGTAGGCGGAGAATAAAAGCCTAATATGGGCTCCCCCTGACTCTTTCTTGACTTGGTAGCAATCTTCGTTTCACCGACTATAAATTCTCCCAATCGGAGAAACGGGCCGTTTCTAGCAGGGTTTCATATTCCAGAAAGGGCGACCGTCCGATATAACCCCTAACGGGACTGTGGCAAAATCCCGAAGTCTGAGTGGATACATAACATCTCAATCTCTGCTATTGTGAGACTGAGGGACTTTGCCGCATGACCTGTTCGTCCGTTTACTGTACCCTGTGGGACACAACGGGACCGGTTTCCGTAGATTTAGTAGCGGAACCGAATTTGAAACGGTTGCTATATCTCCGAAGCAACCTGGGAAGTTTATCCATTAACTAATTAATCATATTGCCACTCGTGCAAGATTCTGGAAATCAATGTACTTGCTAGTACAAGGCGTTAACCTCGGAGGTTTATGATCCGAGCGATGAAGGTGTTTTCGGCGATATCTAATCCTGACCTGATATGGTTGTAGAAGTTGATCCCTATGATCCCGAACTTTGGGTTATAAAGCCACCCACATCTTGCTTTGAATAAGTTTTCCAGCACGCATCTTATCGACAATAGTCTTAAGACTTACTTCGCTCCTTGTCTATTATTGTATTAGATTCTCTACTATATTATCATGAAGCTGTCAACTGCTACTCTCATCGCCTTCGCGGCTGGCGCTATCGGCGCTCCGGCTGATTTTGTCGTTCCACGACAAGCGCCAGGTGGTTGCTCAAGCGCCGTCAAGCTGGATGCCAGTACCAATGTTTGGACCTCTTACACTCTCCATCCCAACAGCTTCTACAAGGAAGAAGTAGAGGCTGCAGCGAGCCAGATGTCCGAGCCTGATGCAACCAAGGCTCGAAAGGTCGGGGACATCGGCACATTCCTATGGGCGTAAGTTGGCTCGACCAAACTGACGACATCTTGGCTGACCCTTGCTAGTGATACTATTGCTAATATTGCCCGAATCGAACCCGCGCTCCAGGGCGTACCATGCAATCACATTTTTGGTTTGGTTGTCTACGATCTGCCTGGTCGTGACTGTGCGGCCAAAGCCTCCAATGGAGAGCTTCCGGTCGGTGCTATCGACAGATACAAGACCGAGTATATTGATAGTATATACCTCCCATTTTCTATTTTATTATCCACTTTGCTGACTTTTGACAAACAGAACTTGCCGCTCTTATCAAGAAATACCCAAACACGGCCTTTGCTCTTGTTATTGAGCCTGACTCGCTTCCGAACCTGGTCACCAATGCCAACGTTGCTGCCTGCCAGCAGTCTGCTGCTGGATATCGTGAGGGTGTTGCCTATGCTCTGAAGACGCTTAACCTACCTAATGTTGTCCAGTATATTGATGCTGGTCACGGCGGGTGGCTTGGCTGGAATGATAATCTCAAGCCGGGTGCCGAGGAGCTTGCCAGTGCCTATAAAAATGCGGGCAGCCCCTCACAGTTCCGCGGCTTTGCTACTAATGTTGCTGGGTGGAATCAATGGTAAGCCCCTAACAGTTCGCGTGTATACAAGTATTCTAACGACTTATAGGGATGCCGAGCCTGGAGAGTTTGCCAGCCACCCTGATGCTCAATATAATAAGGCTCAAAATGAGAAGAAGTATGTTGAGCTCTTTGGTGCAGCCCTTGCTACTGCGGGCATGCCTAACCATGCTATTGTTGATACTGGTCGGAGCGGTAAGCCTGGCGGCCGGTTGGAGTGGGGTGACTGGTGTAATGTCATTGACTCAGGCTTTGGCCGACGGCCCTCTTCTTCTACTGGTTCTACTCTTGCTGATGCCTTCGTGTGGGTCAAGCCGGGTGGTGAATCTGATGGAACTAGTGATAGCTCTGCTGTCCGTTATGATTCGTTCTGTGGCAAGGCTGATGCATTCAAGCCTTCCCCTGAGGCTGGACAATGGAACCAAGCGTTCTTTGAGATGTTGCTCAAGAATGCTAACCCTGCATTCTGAGAATCCAAGTATATAAGAGGGTTTAATAGTTTGTAGTATATTATCCTTGATTTTGAAAATCATGCATTTCCCCTCGCTGCTGACTATAATAAATACGTTGATAAGCCGACAGTGTCCGGCCCAGGTAGAAACACCATTGAGATAGGGTGGCTCGCCAACTAATTGAATGGTTTTCAGCGTTGGTATGTCCGATGGCTTTATAAGTCGAAGTACAGTTGGCGTTAAACCCAGATAGTCAACCTCGATATGCCTTACAGCCTCCGCCAGCGCTGATATGCCATCGTCTTTTGCTGGGACACAAATGCAACTCCCAACCATGAGTAGTGTCAGGTACTCATAGTTTGACATGTCCAAGGCATATGAAGCGGACTGCAGCACCCTATTTTTTGAGCTAAGGCCAACGAAGTCTTTGAACGGGATTTGGCCTGAGCAATATAAGGAGTGGGTAATCGCGACGCCTTTGGGCTTCCCTGGTCATGTGCTGTTACTCTTCTCCGCCTTCGAACCAAGAGATAGTACTATCAGAGTGCTTGTGGTAATAACATCCACTCTGGTCGTCTAACTTCCAGTAGCTCTTGTGCTTGCTAGAGCGCTTGGTAGAGTGTTTACTTGCATGTCCAGATCGGAGGTGAGACGGCTGTGACGCCTTCCGTTTGTGACCATCGCTGCTGGAGGCTTGGTGTGATGATTTCAACGAAGAATGCTTGGATGATGAGTGTCCGGTCGAGTGTCTGGAAGATGAGTGTTTAGATGACGATCGGCGCTTGACACAGAGCTGGTCGTAAGGTAAATCCTCCCAGACGTAATAAACTTCATTCATTTATTTAACCTTGTGTCATATTATTAAGCAATTATTTCATCTGAGCCGAGTGGGAGAGGCTATCTCCCAAAGACCCTTGGAAATGACCGAGAGAGAGACTAAATGTCACTAATTGCGTAAGAGCCATGAAACTCATGTAATCTTATGCCCTCAAATTTGCAGCCTGTCGAACTTTTTGTATTGGTGTGGAATGTTTGAGGCTTCTGTAAATCTCACGAGACTCTGAGACCATTATCGGTAATTAACATCCAACTATTTGATTTGCCTCCCCTAGATGGAAAGTCGATTCCGAGTGAGCTGCTGAAGACAGTTTTGCTCATCTAAGCAAAAGAAACCTAAATCTGACAGCTGGCTCTGGATCGAATTGACCGCGTCGGTGTGGATGGCGATGTTTATAAATGGCCAGAAGGCCAAAAGAACCCACTACTGAATTAAGGTTAGAAAATTGCTCAGGTTGCTTGCTCCTCTTTAGCTGAGCCGCTTTCAGCCGCTACCTCCCGCAGCCCTCCCTTTCATTTTAGCGACCAACGTGTTGTCTGATCATTCCATTTTTGGGCACTAATCGTCAAAAGCGGCCAATACTCATGGATTACGAGTCTCACGAATGGGCTACCTCTTTGAAACTTCAATGCACTGCCCAGTAAGCCAGGCACACCCGGACGTGTTGGTACATCCGGAATGGTACAGACTAAGCCACCACAATGATATTTGCTCAAGCTGCAGATCTTTACCATCACCAAATCGATCGTGATCAGATACAGAACCACATAAGAATCCCATAAGTATATCTCCTTGCCGAGTGCCGTCGGCCGGCCGAGTGCCGGTGGGGACACACTCTGCAAACGAGACACTAACAGTCATAAATAGGAACTCCTCTAGCTCAGCCTGACCAGCTGAACAACAAAGTAATGCCCTAGAAAAACCCACCATACCTGAATCGAGCCAGGAGCGAAGATCCTCCCGGTGAATGATAACGAGAAAATCTTTCAAGGGGCAGAAACATCACACCTGCAGACTCTAGACACTGCAGCAAAGTTTGACCAACCAGCGCGCCCATACCTTGGTCCCTACCCTTTCAAGGTGCTTAGCAAAGTTGCAGTTGGAATTCTGGATCAAATGTGTGCTGCATTCGGGTCGATCACCCCGAGCTGCATATACCCAGGGTTGGGGAAATTAAAATAAGCCAACCACAAGGCGGAGCCCCAGACTGAATCTTGCGAGCAACTGATACTCGCCTCCGCTTTGATAATAACGAGAATGGCATGTGAAAGTGGAACATGAAGAAATCGAAACACCTTTGGTTACAGCTAGTAGAAGATGATTAGACAATGCCCCATGTCCGCACCCACCTCGCTTGAAAAAAACCCGAAAATTCCACGGTAACAGATGGGCTAACAAGGCTTCTCTGAATAGTCTCGAACAGTGACATCCATTAATCTTCCGATTCCGTAATCAAGAATATATTCTTGATAACGATTTACATTTCGATTGCCCCGTCCATGCGTTTGAGATCAAGACTCAGCACAGGGGCTTAGAGGTATAAGAAAGAAGCTGGAACTCCCTGGTGCAGATCTTCTTTTCTTGGTATACCTTAGTATAGCCTCCTTGAGCATACGTCTTTGGTAGGTCCTTAACCTCTTTGTTTTCATACGTACGTTTTTAGCTTCGATTCTTCACAATGGACGAGGATATTAGAACTTCTAATGGTCAAAGGGTGCCCACCTTGTGAGTCAGAAATTTCCCCAAAATACGCTATAATCTAACAAATATACGCACCTAGGGACGGTCACATCCTCCTCGTCTTCTCCTGCATCGCCCTCTACAACGTCATCGAGCTCATATACATCATCTGGATCACATTCAAACGGCACTCTGGCATATACTTTTGGACCTTTATTATTGCGACACTTGGAATACTTGTCCACGCGATTGGCTTTATACTTAAAGCCTTTGGACCTGAAAACGGCGTTTACATCTATGTGAGCCTGATCTCAGTCGGCTGGGTGGCCATGGTCACGGGCCAGTCGTTGGTGCTCTGGTCTCGACTCTACTTGATTGTTCATGCCAAATTCAGGTTGAAGGCCATTCTATGGATGATTATTATCAATGGCATCATTTTCCATATACCAATCATTGTCATGCTCTACGGCGCCAACGGTCCCAATTCCCAGCAGTGGGATCGTGTATTTGGGTAAGTGGTGCGACATTTAGAGATCAGCAGGGGCTAACAAACTCTGTAGGATATATGAAAAGGTTCAGGTCACAGGATTCTTTCTTCAGGAAGTTATCATCTCATTATTCTACATCTACGAAACGATGAAGCTTAGCAAGCTGCGTGTCATGATAGAGAATGAGAGCAGGTCTCGATTCCTTAAGCAGCACCTGATCGTCGTCCATATTGTGATTATACTTCTCGATATCACTATTTTGGGACTCGAATACAGCAACAAATATAATATTCAGACCTCGTATAAGGCATTCGTCTACAGCGTCAAATTAAAGTTGGAGTTCAACATTCTGAATAAACTTGTTGAGATGGCTACTGGCAACAGTAAAATCAGCTCAGGAAAGCTCAAGTACGGACTCAAGAGCGCCGTCACTGGGGGAATAGAACTCAATGAGACTACTGTCAGAGGTGGTACGGCGGACCGTTCACGACACGACCGAAATAGCAGTTATGGCTATCATGCCCATGCCTATCGAGGTGATGATGGGGACCGACCTACAAATGACTCGGAAAGGGTTCTGAAGTTCACGCGGGAGATCAGGATTACAGAGAGAAGAAAGTCGGTTTCCAACAGTGTTACAGAGGCAACGAGTGCATCACAGGGGGAGAGGTCAGCGTCGGGGACAGGCTTTGAGCGTTCTTCCAAGGCGTCATCAGAGCTTCATCTTGCCAGCGGCGGATTCTGATTGTTCCGCCGTTTGTACACCATCAGATTCGGTCATATCTTCTCTCACTACTTTTAAATTAATTAAATAGAGCTCTCTGAAAATGCATTTCAATAGTCAAATGAGCGATCTGGCTCTCGAATAAATACTCTCGAAATGCTCTCGTAGGGAACTCGTGGGAAGCCTCTTCTTCTTCTCTTTTCTTCAGCCCTCTCGTGAAGTTGTGAGTGTTCCTTTTATTTGTTTTGTAGGTGCAATCCAATATCAAGACGTCGGGGTTGCATTGCAGATATTCAATAGAGTCTGGGTGGGCAAAGAAGATAGCCGTTAGTCGATTATCAGAATCCAATCGGACTCTGCACCAAAAACCCTCCCTGCTCAATTGGTTGACTAGTGCCTGGATGCTGCTTTCGCAAGACAATAGGCACAACAATTGAACGCGCCTATTGTCCAATGAGAACACCTTCGTTTGTTTAAAACGCTGCTCGAATAGGCCAAAGAACAATGGAATTCCTCCTCACAAACCTTCAAAATAACCTATCAGGCCTTGGCCTACAGTCCAGACAATACGTCTGACCTGGGGGGGTATATTGGAATTAAGGCATCGAATGAATAGAGTTTATTACGCCCGGGAGGATTTACCTTATAGGGCTAAGTACATTTATTAGCTATATATACTTTAATAGTCTTATCTGTATCTCCCAGAAGCCCTATATTCTTCCTTTGTTACTTCTCGCCTCTCTTGACTCTGTGACAGGCCCGTAGATCCAGAGGTGAAGGCAGTATATGCGGCATCGCTTGGTCGTACTGCAGGCCTTGGTAATGGACTGGAATAAGACTGCCGTGTATTAACCATGTCCTGCCAAGACTGGTCTATAACGATTACGACCAGAGCAAATGCGTCCGCATCATCCTTGAGAAACTCCGGTATCAGCACAACGAGAGTATTGGTCTGCTTACACATCTCTTGCAATCGGCTACTGGGAAATGAAGGTTCAAGGAGAACATAAGCACCGCCCGATCGAAGAGTAGCCAGCAGTGCAACGGTCGTCCACTTCACAACTTTTCGAAGTAGACGCCAACAAAGGAATTGGGTCCCACGCCAAGGTCAAGCAAGTGGCTGGCAATATTACTGGAGAGTCGATCAAGTTCGCCATATGTCATATTCCCATCCCACGAGCACACGGCGGACGCGTTAGGGCGTCGCTGGCATTGCTCGACGATGAAATCGTGGATCCACCTTTCCATAACCTTGGGTTCCTCCAGATTCCACTTGTGCAATTGCTCCATGCTTCTTTGGGAGCAATATTTTACGAGCTTTGGCGCTTGTCCATTGTGAGTTGTGTCATGACATATACCAGAGTCTCGGCCACAAGCCAAGCTTGATCATTACTGAGCACGGAATGCCTGTACCAGAGTCGTGCTCCCCAATTGTCGACCTTGAGGTTTATCCCGATGATTATGTTGTGATACATCTTGAACTCCAGCACCACTGCGCGTCCCTCACTCGACGCCCTATATGGCAAGCATCCGGAATACTCTGCACTGCCTCCCCAGATGCCAGCTGAACCCCAGGCTTGCACATCTGAGATCCTTACAATCCCAATGGAGAAGGTTCAAACAATCAAAGAGAAGTTGCGCAACCACATGCCTAACCCGCCGTCGACTAACACCGTGGCTTGCACCCTTCTCTGGTCTGCAGTGACTCGCGCCCGGATGCAGCGAGTCCTGGAACTCGAGAGCGAGATGAGTCGCCTACCCATGGCGGTCAATGGCCGAAAACGCATTCACGAGCGGTTCGTGGACCCTGAGGCGCCGTACTTTGGGAACGTCGTCCTTTGCTCCTGGGTAGAGGCCGCAGTCCGCGACGTGGCCAAGTGCGGTCGAGACGAATCCATCGAGTTGCTCGCAGATATATGCGCCAAGGTCGCGCATTCCCCTCGCCCGACCGCATCAACACGGGCTACATTGGCGTAGTCTGGGAGCTCGTCGAGCAGCTCATCGATCGCAGGGCCCTCTACCCAGGCTGGGATCTGTTTGACTCTCGGGACCTGTTTATCACTAGCTGGGCCGACCTGGGCCTCTACAACTATGACTTTGGTAACGGTCTTAGGAAAGCGCAGTTTGTAAGGATTCCATACGCCGAGGTGAATGGCAACGTGATTATCTTGCCGAGGAGACGATGTGTGTCTGGGGAAGCTTCAGAAGAGGGATTAGAGATGGTTGTCATGTTACGGAGAGATGATCTGGAGGTGTTGAAGATGGATGATTTATGGAAGTTGTCTAAATAATTTCATGAATATCTCAGTCTATTCTACCAGGATAACAACCTTCACCCCGTTCACTCCCGCTTTGATACGATCAAACACCTTTATTACACTACCGATACCCCCATCAACAATCACAACTGGAGGCGCAGGAACGATAACCCTCTCAGCGAGCGCCTCGGCTAGCCAGTCGTTGAAGAACCACCCGGCGAGATCTGCGTGCTCGGCAAACGTCGTAAAGGCAAAGAAGCTGAATTTCTGCACGGGACAGGGCATGTCCTCGGGCCAGTCAAGCAACGTCACGAGCTTGCTCGACGGGCCGCCGCTGCGGACCAGAATCTCCGAGGTAGCGAGTAGCGTGTCCTTTTTGCTTGTGTTGTCAATGGCGTGCGAGAGGTGGAGGCCGGCCGAGCTGACTTTGTCCAAGACTTTGTTTACCACGTTGGCATCTTCATAGTCAAAGACCTCGGCGGCTCCGAGCCGACGAAGCCGGTCATGATGTTTGGGGCTGGCGGTGGTATACACGGTGAACCCGAGTGCCTTGGCGAGCTGTATCATGGAGGCAGCTACGGCTCCGCCACCGCCCCAGATAAAGAGGCACTCAGTACCCGGACTGAAAATGGTCGAGTGCGCATCAGCAGGCCTGGGCAGGCCGAACTGGACGAAAAAGGCGTTGATGGAGGTGGCCATCGCCATGGGAAAGACGGCGGCATCCTCGAAAGCCATGGCACTAGGCAACACGGTCGCAGCTTGTTCTTTAACGACGGTATATGTCTGCCAGGCACCGTGATCGGCTTTTGAGGTGGCCAGGACGCCGGCGAATCCAAGCACCCTGTCTCCCACCTTGAACCGGGTGACGTTTGCTCCGACATGCTCCACGACTCCCGCGACGTCGCTGCCGAGTACAATAGGGTATTCGGTTATGCCAAACCCATAGTCGCGGACCATCCAGTCCACAGGGTTGCCTGCGATAGCCTTATTGTGAACCAGAATCTCGTCTGCCTGTGGAGTCGGGATCGGTCGTTTAGCAATTTCGATCTGGCCCTGCTTAGTGCTGAGGAGAGCGGCAATATTCTCGGAAGTCATATTGGTAGATTGAGTAGCAAAAGAATTCTTCAAGGTTTGTTCTGTTGGTTTGAGTGTGTAGTTATTGAGTTGCTAGGACTTTTACGGGGAGGAACTAAAGTAGAGGTACCTACTGTTTTATACAAACCATGGCCCTTACTATTTATTACTTCGCTAACCATCGAAAGCTGTACCATGTTATTCAGATAAGTATTATTAATTATCCAAAGGAACGCCTGACAAAGCATATGCTTTGAAATATAATATTTAAGAGGATGCAAGTTCGGGATATATAAAAATACTAATCTTTATTTGTTTGAATTATTTCTCATCTAGTAATTCAAGAACACTAACATTCCAAAACGCCGAGATAAACGCCGCGATAAAACGCCGAACCCAAGCGCTATACCTAATCATATCTCTTTTATCTGAGCTCATACTTGAACATGTATTACTGAATTAAAGAAGCCGAGTCTTATCATATCAATTGCATAAATCTGATAAATTGAGCGGTTTCAAATTATATATAACATAAGGGATCGCCGGAAATCTTGCGATAATTATCTTCAAGTCTAAATATTCCAATCAGCTATACCTATATTTCTGCCTTCGGTTTCTACTTGTTCCCCTTCTTTACGCTTTTGAAATAACGATTATACGCTATGAGACTTTCCTATACCACTCATTCCCCGTCACACGTTGACGCCGAGGGTGCGATAATCATCGAAGCGATCCGCTCTCGGCGCTACCCACGCGGCCTCACTCCCCTGGATCTTGCCCTTTTGCATGCGCCGCATATTGCCGGTGGCTGGAACGCCTTTCTGGGTGCCGTCCGCAACCATTCTTCTCTGCCGGATGACCTGCGCGAGATTGCCATCTGCCGAGTCGCCGCGGTCAATCGAGCATGGTATGAGTGGATGCACCATGCACCTCTAGCGGTCGGCAGGGGCGGCATGTCGGAGGATTCCGTTACCTTTCTCCTCGAACCAGCAGAGCTTCAAACTGTCGAGACTCCGTCGGACTACACTGAGAGGCAATGGGTCGTGGCAGTTGTAGCGGATGAGATGACGCGCCACATCGGCGTACCAGACGACATATTCGCTTCGCTCAAGAGGTTATTCTCTGAGAGTGAGATTGTGGAGATAATATCTACGATTGCTTGCTATAATTGTGTCAGCCGTTTTCTCGTGGCGTTGGATGGTCTGGAAACCTTTCCCTAAATTCGCAGAGTAGCAACTTCTAAACAGAACTGAGCTAATATAATATTTTTTTCTAGTTGGCGAAAAGAACCATACAAGGCCCTGTGGTATTGGCTTGTTAACTTGAATAAGAAAAATAAGGATTGGGGTGCGGACTTGATGGGAAATAAAGCCTCGGACCTGGTGTTCACTCAAAGAAACCCCTGACTTCTCACAAGGAGTACAAGGTTACCCATTGGGCCCTCTTTTCTCCGGCGACGAGTGAATATAAAACTCCCTCCCGGTATTCCCACGGCCCTATCCTGGTAAACTCTTATAACAGTATATTAAGTCCTGGGTGACATTGGCCTGTCTCTAGGAGCTTCCAAAAAGAAATTTATCACTGCGAATGCTCATACTGCCGACCTCCGTTACATCACGTTGCTCTTCTTAGTAGCCCACGTTATCTTCATAATCTACTCTATTTTTACTGGTTAACAGAGCCAACGCAAGAAGCACAGCATGCCTGCAATCATTACTATCCTCTACCTTGCTCCCTCGGAGGGGAATATGCACTTTGACAACAACTATTACCTTTCTGCTCACATGCCTCTTGTCTCTAAGGCATGGCGAGACCATGGTCTTCTCGACTGGCAGGTCGCCGAGCTTATCCACAGCCCGGACAGTCCTTATGTTTACCAAGCAATCATGAAATGGGAGAGTGTGGAGGCTTTCGATAACGCTTCCCGGGATCACGGAACGGCTGTATTCGCGGATATAGCCAAGTATACCAACTTGAAGGTTATATCTATCAAGGGCAACGTCATGGAAACTTGGCAAAAGTGAGGAAGTACGCCCTCAGTGTGGATTCAAACATCGATCTAGATGGATGACGTTAATCGACTTGATGCCCGTCGTTTCTTTATGATAATCTCGGCCATGATAAGACTAGACAGTTTATATATTTACGAGTAGTATTACCTTTCGTACAGTGAACTGTAGAGTTTCTAAGATAACCTTCGTAGAGACATTTCAATACCCATGAGACGTGATAAAATTAAGATTGTGAGAACTATTTACGATGCTCAAAATTCTCCTTGAAGTCAGTCAAAAAATCCCATCTAGCTTGTTCAGCCCAACCCTTGCTCTTCCAATCGTTAGCCCACTCTGGGAAGAGGTCAACTACGCCCAGCAGCGACTTGTCGTGCGCAACAACAAAGAATACATTCCCGTTCTCACTGTCCAACTGCTGCAGCTTCAAAAGGGAATCCCTGGCACTTGAGGGATCGGACACCGCACTGGCCCCATTGGGGTGGTCAGAAATGTCAGCAAAAGGCCTATCTGTGCCCGTGCCATGAGAGATGGAACTCCACGATCCTTCGCTCATCCCGCTTGGGAAATGTGTCTCGGAGCTGATGGAATATTTGACACTACAAGGCAAAGGGCCCTGAGGAGACGGGCGCAGTTGGCACATGTGATGACAGCAGTCACCACCCATCAGTATAAACGTATCACCAGTCCCTTGATTCTGACACAAAGTGCGTGCCAGCGCAGACAAGTGGCCGACGGCATGTCCGGGCGTGGAGAGAATATACAGCGAGCCGTCTCCGAAATAGTCATGAGCTGGGAGGCCGGCCACACTTGATTCAAAATTTTCCAGTTCTATCAATTCCCGACCTGAATAATCAGACTCTAGTATCGGGCTGCTCGGGTTCTTAGGGTAACCCGGCGTCATCGCTGCCGTGAACCCCGGCCCAACGATTACGCCGGTGGTGCTCTGGGGAAACTTGGCCATGTTGCCGACGTGATCCCAGTGCCAGTGGCTCCAGACCACATTCTCAATACTTCCAGGTGGTATGTCATTTTGCTTCAGAATATCTGGCACGTCGTCCTTGACAGCTACCTTCCATCCAGCCTGTGACATGCGTCCCGTCACTATGGGCGAGAGATTTGACACGTCCTTGCGTGGACCCAGATCGAAGAGCAGTCTCCTGCCTGAAGGGTGTTGGATGAAAAAGGAAAAGGTTGGGACTTGCTCGAGCGTCTCCAATCCCCGTATATTAGGTTTCAAAAAGCGGGACATGGGAAGCCCGGAAAGCACCGCATTGCAGAAGAGAGCCACGTTGACAGACACGTTGCCAGCCGGTAAGCTCAAGTTTGATGTATCCATGGCGGTAAAGACCTAGTCAAGCTGATCAATCAAGTTACCAACATACTCTATTACTATACCGTATGCTATTTTATCCAAGTCACTAGCTCCAGCCTATTTTTCTTGCCTGTGGAGCTTCTGACGGTGTTTTCGCCGGCGATTCACGTATGTATCACCGAATCGCCGTGTGCCGTGACATCGCGGTCCTCGTGCCATTAGCTACCACGCTAGACTCGGTGAAACTAAAACATCAGTGGTCGCCGCCTAATAAATGAACGGGTAAAACCCAAACTGGGACAGACTACCAGTATGGATATTGATGGCTACGGGTTGAGACTAGGTATTCGGTCCAAAAAAAAAATGAGCTCGTCATCTATTTTCTGTAAAAATGTCCCCTACACAGTGAGTCTCCACGCATAGTGAATCATGTCCTATCCTGTACTGATAGACGACGACTCTAGTTCCAGGATGCTTCCCTTCTGGATGTGCGGTCATATGTGGGAGGTGGATGGGAAAACTCAAGCGAAAACAAGACATTCGCTGTAGAAGGTAAATGAACAGCCACCCCACGTCACAGCCTGTATATCAACCTCTGAAAGGGTGACTAGCTAAGAATTGCCGCAGACCCAGCTGACCAGCAGATTTTGGCAAACGTATCAGACTCGAGCGTCGCAGACTACGAGCGAGCAATCGACATAGCTAATACCGCTTTCAAGGCGTACAGGCAGCTCACGCCGTCAAACAGAGGCCAGCTCCTCAGGAATTGGGCTCAAGCTGTACGCGAGTCCAGCCGGGACCTGGCCGCGCTCTGCACGCTCGAGCTGGGCAAGCCCATCAATGAGTCGATCAAGGCCGTAGCTTACGCCGCCAGCTGCCTCGACTGGTTCGCCAACCTGGCCGACCAGGGCTGTGGCGGCGAGACAATCCCTAGCTCGGGCAACGGCGGGCGGAACAGGATCTGGACTGTCCGCCGGCCCGTCGGGGTCGTGTGCGCCATCACGCCCTGGAACTCGCCCTACTCGGGCGTCCTGAAGAAGATTGCGCCGGCCCTGGCGGTGGGATGTACCATCGTCCACAAGCCAGCCCCCGAGACGCCTTTGTGTGCCATGGCGCTGGCCAAAACCTGCCAGCGAGCCGGGTTCCCGGCGGGCGTGTATAACGTGCTAGCGAGCTCGCCAGGCAGAGCCGCCGTGGTTGGCTCGCTCTTTTGCTCGCATCCGTCGGTCCGTCACGTCACGTTTACGGGATCCACGGCCGTGGGAAGATATCTAGCTGAGAGATGCGGTGCTAATCTAAAGAAGATAACCATGGAGTTGGGCGGCAACGCCGCGTTCATTGTCTTTGATGATGCCGACTTGGATCTCGCAGTGAGAGGTCTGTGCCGTTCCATCTGGAACACCCTTATTTCATAGTAAAGCCTGACTGTTTGTTTGCTAACTGAGATGCAATTGGCTAGAACTCATAGCTTGCAAGTTCAACTCTTCCGGGCAAGTTTGCATCTATGCCAACCGAGTGCTCGTCCACAAAGGGATCGAAAAAGCATTTACCGATAGGCTCTTGGTGGCCATCCAGGAGCGTGTCCGCCTTGGATCTCCGTGGGATGACAAGGTGACGCTTGGACCCCTCTACGCCAAGGCGGGAGCAGACAAGATCGAGGCTCTGCGAGCAGACGCACTTGCAAAGGGTGCTAGTTTGCACACGCCGGACGTCTACGAAGACGGCTCCACGTACTACCCACCCACGGTCATGACCAGGATTACTCAAGAGATGAGGATCAGTCATGAGGAGATTTTCGGTCCCCTAGTAGCCATTTCGACATTTGACAAGGAGGAAGAGGCAGTCAGCCTCGCAAACAGCGTTGACACCGGACTGGCGGGCTATGTCTTCACCCAGAACATCTCTCGCCTGTTTAGGGTGGCTGAAGAGCTGCAGGCCGGCATGGTCGGGGCTCAGACCGGGTCGATCAGCGCCATTGAGCAGCCGTTTGGGGGTGTCAGGGACAGCGGCATGGGCAGGGAAGGATCTATACATGCATTGGAGGAATACACGGATATCAAGTCTATTACTCTGGCTTTGTAAACATTCCAAGTTGCAGTATATACCTAGGCAAATTAACCATTACCCCTACTAACGTGAAGACTTTATGAACTCTGCTATACCGAAATACACAAATAGGCAGAATGCTTCTTAGGAAGTTACTATATTTCTTTAAAAATCTTGTGTACCTTTCTACTTCTCGCGTTCTTCCTCATGTATCAACAATTTTGTAAAAAAGAGAACTGTAATTCAAGACTCTCCATGTTAGCAGATATCAGGGCAGAGTATAATGGCCTTCATTTTCCGTATCATGAAGTAAGTGAGAAGCTACATGACCCTTATCTCTACAGTATCCAGGTCAATAATGCCGGCTCTTACAAGGTCCAGAAACGGCGATTCGCAACTAGGTCTTGTGAGATGTAGATCTCGGTGGAATATAATCCTCCGAGAGCGGATCCGGCGACTGGTCATTGCGAGGACGGCGAAATGGCAGTAAGTATTTCATTTGTCTCTTGCATGGAACTGATCCTTTGGCCTTGATCGATACCAACCGTTGGAATGAAAAGGCAGCAGTGTATCCCTCTTGTAATTTCTTCGGCTGCCTTCTAATCAATGTGCTTTGAGGAGTCATCAATGATAACACAATCAATCTACAATGCATTTCAGCAAACTACCATCCTGGGACGACATCCCCAATGTTCCAGGCATGCCGCACGGGTGTGCCTGGGGTCTGTTTGATCAAAATGGCGAGCGAGATCAACTAGGCACGCTAAATCTAATTACCCCAGAAACAATACTGAAGGCGAAAGACGAGATTGAATATGGGGATAGCGTGTCTCTCGAGTATGCGGGACTCTTTTTCACTTCATGCATCTCCTGGCTGACATATATATATACGATAAAGCTGGTCCCTAAACCATGTTCAGGATCCTGCTGCAGAACGAAAGCCGTTTGAGCACCAAATTAGGAGTTTGAAGCATCTAGGGTATACGGCCTACGACGATGAAATCAAAATTAACACGCAAAGTAGCAGCCAATGGGACGGTTTCAGTACAGCTCGCTCATGTTTAAAGTACGTAGGTGCCTGTTACTGACAGTTTGCAGGACACTGGGCCCACCAGCAAACCGGGCTTCATTACAATAACATGACGCATGATGAGGTTCTGGATCCTCAGAATTACGATAATTCTATCCACTGTGAGTTGTCTCGATTGAACTCGAAAGCATCTAGAAAGAAATACCAATTATTTGATCAGACTGGAGATCACGAGGTGGAATTATTGGGAGGGGAGTCTTGATCGACTACCACCACTGGGCAACAGCCAAGGGACTCGACCATCCGGTATTTGAACGAACGACAATCTCAACAAAACAAATAGAAAAGATAGCCTGTGACCAAGGGGTGGAGCTTCGACCGGCAGATATACTTATTATCCGAACCGGTTGGACAGATATGTATAACCAGGCTACCGATGCACAGCGGTCCGAGGGCACGACAGGGGACAAGCACATTGGGCTCGAAGGCAGCGAGCAAACGGTCAAGTGGCTATGGGACAAACACTTTACCGCCGTTGCGTCGGATACGTTGGCCTTTGAAGCCTGGCCAACCAGGCCACCATTCAGTGAGCTCATCAGCCAAAGTCCCTTTGAAAGCTACACTACTGACTGATTCTTATTCTAGGTCTACATGACTGGCTCATTGCTTTGTGGGGATGTCCGGTTGGCGAGCTCTGGGATCTCGAGTCACTTGCTGCCAAGTGTCGGTTGTACAAGAAGTGGTCTTTCTTTATTTCGAGTGCTCCCTTGAATGTCATTGGGGGTGTAGCCTCGCCGCCCAATATCATTGCAATCCTGTAAGACAACAATCCAAAGAATACATGAATCAAACATTGCAGTCTGCCCATCTTTTCCGTGATAAATTTCAGTCTAAACTAAACAAGGGGTTTGAATTTGGGGAGGCAAGCTGACTCGTGCAGGTGACGACTAGTCAGACTACTTCCAAGCTATCGCCGAAACTCCGAGGGGACCAGTCAGGAACAAACGCCGGCTCCGGATATATCTAATAAACCAGACCATAAGAATTATTAATCAAAGTTCACCGCACTTCGCTTACAAAGCAGCAACCAGTAGCGAATCCCCTCATTCTCCGTAAATTGCCAGAAAAGCCGATTCATTTGTCTAAAATAAAGAAAGCCAAGAAAGGGTTGAAGACAAAAGCTGGGACTTGAACCTTGACCATGGCCAAAGCCTGCGAGCCTTGCCACATACGAAAGATTAAATGCGATCTGCCGTTATCACGGGATCGGCGGAGTGTTCGGTGTTCATTCTGTGAAAACGCCGGGCTCGAGTGCCGGTAAGAGTTGAGCAGCATTCATTCAGTGGGTCCAATTCTGACAGGAAGATGCAGACCGCATGTCAGGAAGAGAAGGACAGTCGTCGGGCCCAATGAGACAAGAAGAGCCACAATCGACTCCACCAGACTGGCGACGAGAGATGGCGTTGCCAGCCCCAGTTCCAGGCCAAGCCCTCGAGACCCAGGCGCCGCAACAGCACAGCAGGAGACACCGACTTCCATGACTGCCGCTCCTCCTCAAGCGACCTCGAACCCCATCCAGATTGCTACTGCTTCGCCGCCAAGCTCCCAACCTAGCTTTCTCGGTCGGGCAACCTACATGACCAGCGGTGACTTGGTCATTGACGAGGATGACGCTACAAAGTACGAATCAAACGGGACTGGAACGTCGCTAGTTGCCAAGGAATACCAGCAGTGTCAGGTGCTCCGCAGTTCCTCCGTCATCAGCTCTCTGCAACAGTCTATGATATCCAGCTTGGTGCAAAGCTTCATGGACAAGGGCAGGCCGTGGATGCCTATAGTTGATCAAACAGACCTGGAACCCACGATATCTCAGCCTCACCTTTCTCTCTTTTTGACTTCTGTGCTAGTCGCTGGTAGTAAGTTGTCCACATCGCCCCATGCATTGGAGTGGGGTGAGAAGTGCTACTTGCACGCAAAAACGCTCTTCTTTTACGGACCCGGCCAGAATCCATTGCAGTCAGTGATAGCGACAGTTCTCCTTCAATGGTGGAACTCAGCAGGGCCAGAGCACGTGTCGCTCGATAGTAGCACTATATGGCTGAAGTTGGCGGTTGGGCTGGCGCATCAGATGGGCCTCCATCGAGAGTCGGACCCCAGCTTGCCCGACGCTCGCCTTCGTCGGCGATTATGGTGGACGATAGTGGTAAGAATCTTGCCCCTATGCTTTTCATTTATTTTCATTCCATCAGGCTGATGCCATCCCCTGATTTAATTTGGAATACTTTTCTGATGGAATAAGTACAGAATAGAGATAACCAAATCGCCACAAGTCACGGCCGTCCCCGAGTGCTCGACCCTAGAGACTCAAACGTGAAACATTTACACCTTGGTGATTTCCCCAATCTAGACCAGGTCGACTCGCTGCGCTTCATCTTCTTTGTACGGATTAACTCGATCCTCGGAGACATGGTATCCCACTACCGACGCGGCAGCCTCTCAGAAAGACGTCGTATGGATACTGAGGAAGCTCTGCTGAGATGGCTTAAAGAACTGCCTCCATCCCTTCATCTTCATGACCAGACATCAAGAGCTCTCAGGTCTTACCAGTTCAAGTCGCGGCAGCTCCACATCCCCTTCTTCATCGCTGTAGTTATACTCTATCGCCCCGAGGCGCAAAGCTCGCAGACAACTTCTTCTCTCGCGAGCTTGATAGCCGCCTCGTTCGTAACGCGCATATTTAGTGAATTTATTGATTGGGGCGATATCTCTTTCCTAGCGCCGCCCTTTATATTCTACCTGCTTGTAGCCGGATTAAATCAGGTCTCGTCACATCGCCATCCCGACTTGTCACAACACGCCGACCAGGAAATTCAGACCGTTCGTGACGCCCTCAATGAGTTGAAGAAGCGGTTTCCTACAGCCGTCGGCGCCGAGCGTGTCTTTGAAAACATTCTCTGCAAAGCACGCGCCCTCCAACCTTGTTCGCAGCCGTCGCCGCCAAAGCCCCTCTCCCCTACGCAACAAGAGCTGTTGGCATATTTTGGGCCCGATCTTTGTCCACTGTGGCCGTCGTTCCTGAGCGAATCTGTTGATCCGGTGTCTCTGCTCCTGAACATACCATCAGCGGATAGGACCCATTTCTCGGCCCAGCAAAATCTTTCCACTAATAACACCGTCAACGCGCCGGGCGAGGTTGACGTTTTGGGCCAGATTCACAATGGGGACGTACATGCTGTCCAGAGCTTTACCGGCATGCCCGTTTCCGAGCCGGTGGGAGACTTTGATTTCGGCAGGCTGGATCTCTTATGGTCAGATTGGTTAGATTCAACCACTACATAATCACTCATATAGTTCGAGATACCTCAGCTCGGTTCATCGAAAAAGCTATCCACTTTTAGTTCCCATATAACAGATTACGGAATATACTGCCAATAGCAAGTCTATAGATAGTGCTTGAGCCTAATATAGGTATAGTATCTAGGGATCAAATATACATTATTACCTTATCCTTACCGGTAATATAATTACCAAGCCCTAATCCTAGATCTCTAGGATAGCAAAACCACTTTAGAAACAGGATAGTTAAGGTCTTATATCCTATGGCAACTTTCAGGAATAAGGAAAACACTAAATACCTGCTTGATTTTCTCACTTTAAAACAAATCTCAACCACTGAAGCATCCCTTTCTTATTCACGTTATACGTCTTGATCGATGCCCCTGACCTCCATTATCACGTCTCATTGTATAATTTTCTTAGCGTTTTCTGCTGCTAGTTCATCGCTTTTCAGAGCCGGTCGGTCACTTCGCCCTGCTGTAGCCTGCATTGTATTGTCGATGTCAGCATTCCATATTATAGTCGGCATATATCAAGCCTATAATTCCTTGGGCAGTGTATCGATAGGGTTCACTTACACCACCATCTATTGGCATGATGAGCCCTGTGATCCACTTTGCTTCCCTGCTAACAAGGAATAAAATAGCTACAAGTTAAATTAGCAAGCGGACTCAAATTAAGGGATAGTCCCAGTCAAGTTGTTAGTATGGATGAACACCTACCGTATCCAACGTCCCAGCCAGTCCCTTCCTGTTTCAACAAGTTTTGCTCGATACGAGCTTGTCGTATCTCTTCCGTCATGCCTCGAGACCTCGTCATTGGTGTGAAGACCATTCCGGGCGCGACGCAGTTGATACGGATGTTCTCGCGCCCGTGGTGAGCAGCCATTGCCCGGGTCATTTGGATAATGGCGCCTTTCGTCGTGGGATAGATAAGGCTCGGATTACCCCCTTGGACTATAATAGGTTCAGCAGTTTCCTAGGTATATATATGGAACTCCATCCCGGAATCTTTGTAGAGCACACTTTGGAGAATCATTTGAACAGCACCATATAGATGTAGAGATTAAAAGGGGTGGTTACTTACGCCCGCTAACTGACGACATGTTGACAATGGAGCCACGACCAACTTTCCTCATCTCCGGGATAGCGTGGCGAGCCATTAGAACCATGCTGGTGACGTTGATACGGAAATCTCTGTTCCAGGCTTCCAGATCAACATCGGTAGCGTCGCCTAGGGCTCCTCCGACGCCGACTGCACAAATCATCAGCTCGAAACATTATGTTCAGATGACAATCAGATGTAGAGATTATGAATGAGGTTAATAGAAGCACAAGAGACTAACCAATATTCACCAGAATGTGCACAGCGCCCCAAAGCTCAACCGTCCTGGCCACTACTCCCTTGCAGGCATCCTCATCTGTCACGTCGGCCTGCATGACTTCGGAGACACCACCTTCGCTGTCAATCATCCGCTTGGTGTCCTGAGCCCACGCGGGATTGAAGTCGACTAAGGCCACCTTGGCTCCGTGGCGCGCCAGGAGGATGGCGGCAGCTCGACCATTTCCAATCTCTCCGTCGAAGCGCGAGCCGGCGCCTGTCACGATGGCAACGTCGCCAGACAAGTCGAATGATTTTGGATTAGTCATTTCTTCTTCCTTTCTTAGTTGTGATCAGCTCTTCTTGAGTATATAGTTAGAGAATGTAGAACGCTTAATAGCTTGATTATTATTCAGTAATTCCTTGATCCAATGAGAGAAGTATATCCGGGATAAGACTAAGAAAAGTCAATAAGGGCATATGAATAACCACTTATGCCGCATAACCCTAGATATCGATTCAGTATATCACTTCCCCAATTATCCAATCTAAATTTCATTACTCTTCTTTACCGAAAGTTCCATGGACGCCGAACAGAAACCAATGATTAGCTGTCGCCCGCTTGACCTTCTCGGCAGCAAACACCGAAAGAGCGATTTGAGAGTTATCGCCGAAACGCCGCAGCTAATTTTCTCCTACAGCCAAAATGCAATACCTTAGAGAGCTGGAAGCCCCACAGATAATCAAACAGAGTTGTCTTATTCATGACAAGATAACAGTCTTTTACTATTTGATAGAGTCAATCGTCCACAGGAGCCAGTTCAGAGCGATAAGATGAATCTCAACACCATGACGACAACAGACGAATCCTATCAAGCCCTCGTTTTTGGAGCATCCGGCATTTCCGGATGGGCTATTACGAGGGCAGCAGTGCGCTCAGAGACGCCGTATGCATTCTCCAAGGTCATTGCTCTTACCAATCGCCCTTTATCTTTGAAGAGTTCCGCCTGGCCAGATAATCCGAAACTAGAGCTCAAACATGGCCTTGACTTGGCCAAAGGCCCTGGTCCGGTTCGAAACTACTTGAGTCAAATAGGCGGCATCGAAAAGACGACTCATGTTTACTTTACAGGTATATCTTCTCCCATGACTCGAGTTTATTTGAGAATAATTATTGATACAATTAAGCGTATATACATGGTGCTTTTGGAAACATTGATAGCGATGCCCGTACTCGGGTTAACGTGGACATTCTCCGCAACGCGGTGCTGGCTGTAGAGCAACTATCGCCAAGATTACGTTTCTGGACCCTGCAGTCGGGCGCAAAGGCAAGGGCATTATGGATGGATTGACTCGAGCTTGTGAGGGAACGGACTGACACCCTTCCAGTGGTACGGAACCGAGTTCTCACATATACTCAAACCAAAAGCGCCTTTCCAAGAAACAGCCCCTCGAATCCCGAAGCCGTACTCGGATCACTGCTTCTACTACCCCCAGGTTGACCTTCTAGAAGAGCTCTCAAACGGCAAGGATTGGAGCTATGCCAACATCATACCCGACTCAATTGTAAGTTGCAGTAGCGCTCTCAATAGTGCCTCGAAAGGGTCAGTTAATATGGTGATTCCAGATTGGACTTGTCCCAAACGGAAACCCAATGACTATAGCGCACCCCATAGGGCTTTATTTGGCGTTGTGGAAATCGTTCAGACACACGGAGCCTGTTCCATTTCCAGGGACTCGGACATCATATCACACGCTTCACACTGACACGTCGCAAGACATACTTGGTGACTTTACTATTTTCCTATCTATGCGAGGCGAATCCAGCTCTGGAAAATCCTTCAACATTGCTGACAACGATGGTGTGAGCTGGGAATCTACTTGGGGAGGCATCTGCAGCTATTTTGGCTTGAAAGGAGTCGAGCCCATGGATAACGCTTCTTCCCTGCAGGGGGAAGCCTGGGTCACGAGTATCAAATCGGAGTGGGCAAAATGGGAAGCAGACCACGGACTCAAAAAGGGGGCCGTCGAAGGAGCCCCGTGGGAGTTCTTCACTATCATTGTGTAAGTCCCCTGAACACACCAAAGGTTAACCATTGCCTCGGTCAAATTTATCCTTCACTAACAATTTTATTACTCTGAAATTAGCGGTTATTATTCTGAGATTAACAGAAACCTAGATATTTCTCGGGCACGTGCGTTAGGATGGGACCGTAGCTACGACGCCGTTCGCAGCTACCATGTTACTTTTGAACGGCTGCGAAGGATAAAGTTGCTTCCATAATTATTTACTATATTCTACGATCCAAACTGATAGCAACCCTCTTATAAAAATAATTTAAAATTACCACCCTATATCAGCCAGAGAGCTATATTCTTAGCAGTCTGTTGCTTAACAGGAGATATAACGTAGAGTAACATGACCGTATAATCAAAATCCCCCCAGCCTCATCCGCTTAAGCACGTTAAGATTTTCAAAAAGATTATTAATTCAAGCTTATCTTCTTCCCTTTAACATTCCATTCGGTAGGGTTATAATAGGAGCCAAAGGTTGGTGTTTCTGAGCTGTAGACAGTGTACGGATATTATTCGTTGCTTACCACACTATTACTTATAGCGTGGTCACGACTCCGCTATCCATTTACTAACACGATATTCTATTTTAGCATGGGCATCTCCTAAGTCTTTTTAAAAGGTATAGAATAACGAGATTTGTCCTCATGCTACCTAGTTTCTTTATACAGCAAGACGGACTTTGAGCTTATCGTCCTTGACGATTTGTGCCTCCTGGTTTAAGAATTCCTCCATGTCCCAAGTACAACTTATATATCGGCCTGAAAGCCATTCGCGTCGTTCCTGGGTAAGAAACGCAATTGTATCGCCTGTCAGCTCAGGCTTGTCCTTGAGACCTGGAAAGATGAGGGTAAGTCAAGAGCTCAAAGAACAAAAACGGTTGCTACCAAAACTAAACTCACTTGCATACGTTTCTGCCGGCATAGCTTGAGCTAAATCGGTCATGATGGCCCCCGGGTGGACTGAGAAGGAGATCAATCCATGCTCAGCATGCTCAACGAGGAGGAACTCGGTAAACTTGAGCACCGCCAGCTTCGACACGCCGTATGCACTCGCGTTGGGGCGGATGTTGTGAGCTGCCACAGAGTTGATATTGACCAACGTCTTTAGACCGTTCTCCTTGGCCATTAGCAAAGGTATAAAGTGCTTGCTCATGAGAAAAACTCCTTTAAGATTCACTTCGAAAGTCTTCCACCAGAGCCCTTCATCCGCCTCCGTCACTGGGAGCGCCGGGGTCATGAAGCCGGCATTATTAACCAGAACATCAAGTCCCGGCGTAAGAGATTGCACCGACGCTGCCGCTTCTGCCACTGATGCGCTGTCAGTGACGTCTAGATGTAGGCAGTGCACGGTTGGAAGACCGTGTCCCGCTTGTCGCGCCGCCGCCTCTATTTCGTCTTTGGTACCACCAAAATTGTCGGGACACCCCAGTGCAATGAATGATGCTCCTGCTTGTGCGAATGAAATGGCAATGGCCTTGCCAATTCCGCGATTACCGCCACTTATGAAAACGCTTCTACCAGAATGGTCTGACTTGGTTCTCGAGTCTATAAAGGCGTAGGTATCTGTTTGGAGCGAGCTTGTAAAGTTGGCTCCTAATGAGAAAAATCAGCATTGCTCCCTATGAATTTGAAACACATGGACGGACCATTTTCAGGCGACACCGGCGGATATCCAACCATGATGACGAAGATTGGGAAAACTCCAATAACTCCTCTTTGTAGAAGGGGCGGCCTCGCCAAGGTTGCCGAGAGGTCAAACTTATTGAATCACGGCTGATTTTGTCCCGAGTGCAGTTGTTAAAGGCCCCGCCTCGGAGTTATGGAGAGCATAGTTGCCAAGCCAGCCGGCGAATCTACCCCGCAGCCGAAGAATGACGGCATTTCACAAAACGCCGAAATGTGGGTCAAACGCCAAACCACCGATGGGTGTTGACACTACCTATTCACGAGCATCTCATGCTTAACATTGCCGTAAGCTAGTTGGAACGATTTGTACAGTGTACGAAATGTAGTTCTTGTAAAAGTCCTCGTCTGGGTGTATTCCAGCAAGAGCTAATACGCACCCTGCCACCACTATTATATGCCAACCCATTTGATTTTTTAGTCTTACTGCTTGTCTATTGTTAGTCGTTGATAATCGTAGTACTGCTATATTATAATAAATCTATTACTTACAACTAGATATATATCAACAGGCAGCCCTAGATAGATTTATCTTGCTTTTATCAAACGCTTTAATTACTTCATCTGTCCAGCGCTTAGGGTAGCGATGATTTCTGTAGGGTAGGATGAACATCCAGCTAGCTACAGTATGAAGCTGAAATTATGTGGGAACTGAAATTAAACTAATAATTGACCGACCAATCACTCAAGGGTCATGACTCATGTCTCCATAGAGCAAGACCAAAATCCGGCCATCGGCGTTATCTAGGGAATGCAACGGTAAATCTGGGGTACCCCGTAATATCGTTTTGATGTGCATCTACGTCCCCAGTCCCCAAATCCCGGAAACAACACTTCAGGCTACGCAACCTACATAGTTATTGAGTTCCCTCATGTATAAAGCGATTGCCACCTAGCCGTATTTTACAATTTCATTAGAGCCCGCACCTTGGCTAAAAGGAAGAGTCACCGGATCTACGTCTAGTTTCTGTCTTAATGAGTACGCAACCGGCCCAAAATGAGCTCCATGCTCGCCACCACAAAACCCAGTTGGTAAGTCGACAACGATGTAGCCGTTCTCACTTGATCTGTGTTCTTCGTTACTGTGATTAACTGGTGATCGGGCCTAGCGAATCTTTCTCGTAACAATAGGGAGTTTTACCTACGCGTATGCTTCTAGCATTATCGGCACTACACTTGCCCAGCCATCTTTCATCGAGTATTTTGACATGGACAAAAGGTCCAATGCCGCCGACATCTCAGGAGCCATAAATGGAGTATTCCAAGCTGGGGGCTTTTTTGGCGCCCTGGCTTGCATTCTCATCGCGGACAAGTTTGGCAGGCGGATAGCAATTTTCATTGCGTCCATGCTGGCGACACTAGGTGGCGCGCTTCAAGCTGGCAGCGTCCACATTGCCATGTACCTGGCGATGCGTGTTGTCTCTGGCTTGGGGGTAGGTATGTGTGAGAAACCCCAGGCCGACATCAATTCATTAATAACTGATATCTATCACAACATAAGGCGCTTTGATCACTATGGTCCCGCTCTACCTCGCCGAGGTAGCTGCCCCAGAAGTCCGTGGTCGTGTTGTTGGCACGACGGGGATCATGATTGGTGTCGGCTATTCGAGCGCAAGCTGGATGGGTTTTGCCTTCTATTTCGTTAATGCATCCAACAAACAGTGGCGTATTCCAATTGCGTTGCAATGTGTCCCGGCTCTAGTGCTTGCCATTGGCGTTTGGTGGCTTCCAGAGTCGCCTCGATGGTGTTAGTTCCCTTTCTTCTTCTTTTGACTTGATGCTGACCTACTGCGTGCATAACTAGTGCTACTTAACGATCGAGCCGATGAGGCCCACAGGATATTTTATCAAGCTCAACCCGCACATAACACGCACGAGGTGGCCGATAATAGCGAGTTTGAATTGCTGCAGAGGCAGATCATGCAGGAGAAGACGTACCCAACGGCCTTTTCAGATCTGTTCACCAACCCAGGCATGAGAAAACGTACCTTGCTTGGTTTTTTGTCCTTGTTTGGCTCTCAAGCCGCTGGCACGCAGGTCATCAACAATTATGGCTCATCCTTGTATGCCGGGCTCGGGTACAATACCACCAACACACTGCTGATACAAAGCTGCTGGATAACCACCATCATATTTGGCAATGTGATAAATACAGTGGCTCTGGATAAGTTTGGCCGTAAACCACTCTTCGTTCTCGGATTTGCAGGATGTGCCGCTTCCCTGATCGGAGAGAGTGTTTCTGTTGCTCACTATCAGAGCACGGCAAGTCACTCTGCTGCCGTAGCAGCTGTTTTCTTTTTGTTTTTAGAGGTTGCCGTGTAGGTTTCACAGACGTGTTTGTTCATGCCCTATAGACTTCTCCTTATTACTGACACTGTTTAGCTTCTCATCTACCATTGATGCAACATCTTACGTATACCCTTCGGAGATATTCCCTACGCCACTTCGCGCTAAAGGAATGGCTGTATCGGCAGCCGGGTTATTTCTAGCTTCCCTAATCATCCTTATCCCTGCCCCAACAGCATTTGAAAATATCCAGTGGAGATATTATATTGTGTTTACAATATTAAGCTCTGTAATGGTACTTATAGTGCTATCTTTATTTCCCGAGGTGCGTTTTATAAAGTTGATACTATTTAACGGGTAAAGGCTAACATGGGTTATAAGACTAAGCAAAAATCCCTCGAGGAGATCTCTGCTCTTTTTGGGCAGTATACACCCCAAACTACTGATGTAGAGAAAGACAATAAGGGGTCTATTACCATGGTAGAAGATTGCAATCACGGTTAGAGAAAACGTTGGCTCATGGTTCAAGACGCTTTTCTTGTTGCTCTACTTATCAAGCTCGACAACAAGCAGCACATCACGGTAGCGCAACTTGAAATCAAACTCTTCTGGATTGGACCCAGAGAGAAGTGGAGTAAGAAAGAGATAGTTTACTAGTAAAATATATACCACTGATCTCTTTTAAATATATATCTATTCTTATATCACTTAATTTTTAAGACTTAGAACCAGAGTATAAAAATAAATTCTTTCATTTATTTTTACTTAACTCAGGCTTAGAAGTTCTATTGGATAACTTTGAGGTAGTAATGTGCAGGCATTACAATTTGTCCCGCCCGACCGGGCTTTTCAATATCAACTTGACCTACTTAGGTACGCTGACAAATGTGACGCGGTCTGACCGCTGGCTTTTTCAGATTTGACAACAGACTCAACTCCAACGTGAGTGAACATTATCGGAGCTGCCTTCACGCGGATTCATCGAGATGAATGAAGCCGAGGCCCGGCCTGTTCTCTTTTGCGGGCAGTGCAACAAACCATTCAACAAGCGTGCGTCGTACTTTGTTTCAAACCATTCCGTACTCTGGCGGCGTCGTCGCGGTCGGAACCAGCTGACAACATCTCATCTCTATTAGAGTCAACGCTCAAGAGGCATGGTTACTACTGCCGGTCGCGGAGAGCCGGCAGTACCATCCGCGCTCGATCGTGCATGTCCTGCGCAAGGGCCAAGGTCAGTTGCGATAACAAGCGGCCCCAATGCTCGAGGTGCCTCGGCAAGGGGATTGCATGCCAGTATCCTGCGGCCAGGGCCTTGGGGTCAGGACCAGTCATTCAACACAATGATGGTGTGTCTATAAGGGCGGAAATGAGGACCCCCTCGTCTGTGGGAGATACACCTGGCGCGGACAACACGCAGCAAGTTGGCAGCGCGGATTCCATCATCGACGGTGCACTTGTCTTGTTGGACCCGGATTTTGCGAATCTAGACGTTGAACAAGCTGGCTGGGATACTCCCAATCTTGGATTCGTTGCGGACGTTGGGCTCGGCGAGTTTCTGAACGCCCAGGAGACCAACAACCCCCATTTCTCGCCAGAATCATCCTGTTTTGTGAATCATTCGACCCCTCCGGCTGGTCAATCATCCCGAAAACAGCCGGAGCTCTCTCCTCATTTAGCGATACCGGCATCCCTAAGTAACTCTGTCCGGTCACTCATCCAACGGCCTAAACGAACTGCTGCATCGCAAAGAATTACCAATCTCACCCTCCACACCCTCAAATCCTATCCCCTGATAATGCTGCGCGACAAGGCCCTGCCGCCTTTTATCCACCCGAGTCTGCTGTCTTCCAACCTCGAAAGTGACATGGAGCCGCTGAGCAACTGCATCAGTCTGATGCACATGATTGGCGGCCAAGTAAAGGGGACTCGAAAGCTGTTTTGGAAAAATGTGGCGATGGAATGTTGCCGATTTTCAGAAGATGTAGGTTTGACTTTTGGTCTACTTTAAGAGGGCGAGGCTGACGGACGATTGAGTAGTATTCGAGATTTAACAAGTGGGAACTACTTGCGGCCATGCATGCCCTGTCCATTTATATTCTCTTGCGATTGGACGAAGGCGAGACGGAACATAATAACTTCGATTCTTTGATAGTCAGAGCGGTGATAGTGAGTTCCAACTCCCCATTCTAAACTTTCACGCTTCTCCTAACAACATGAATAGGTGATAGCCCAAAAACTCTGCACAGGCGACATTACATGCCACACGCAGTGTGCTTTGTGCAACAATGGCCTTGAAATGAGCTGGAAAGAGTGGATTTTCAGGGAATCAAGGCGAAGGTAAGGCTCTCTCGACTTACGCAGTGAGGCAAGCTTGGAGCGCAATACATGCTAACAGAAATCAAAGACTTGCTGTTGTCTATCGGGTGGTGAATATGCTTATCTACTTTGAGCCAGCGGCCATGTGTGATATGCCCCACGAGTTCATCTTAGCGCCATTACCGGCCAAGAAACAACTTTGGGAAGCAAGCGACGAGTTTACATGGAAGGCCGAGAGCCAGAGGGAACCGGGGGTCCAAGTCTCTTTTGGACTTGCATCGGACGGCGAGGTTGTGCAACTGGGCGACGATCGGCTGTCTTGCAGTGACGCGTGGTTATCCCATCGACCCTCTGACGGTAGGCCCACGTCGAGGAGCAATGCGCGGTGGGAAGAGTGGTGCTCTGGAATAGACGGCTTCGGCAGCCTCGTCATGCTTGCCGCGTCTCTGATAGTGTGAAGTTGATGCATTTGAATCGTGGTGATCCCCTTATTAAACTACGCCACAAGTAAAAGCCTACCTATAACAATGTATTGGATAGTCGGTACTACAGATTGCTGGTATCAATAGAATAACTTACTTAGGAAGACAATAAAATTAACAATCGCTAAACTGCACTGGAGTCATACTGTTTACACGGCCCTAACTCGCCCCTCTGGAATATTCCTAGCGCCTGGTCTTTACGAGTGGTGAACTGCTAAGGCTTATATGGAGGAATACTTGGAGGGTTCGCCAATGTTCAATGTTTTAATTACTGTTCGCTGCTTTGTAATTACTTAAATCGATTTGTCTCCACGTTATATACATTATATTCCATGTGCATTTTGTCCCGTCCTACATTTTTGTGCTTGCCGGCCCTCAGGGGGCTTAAGTAATTATAGATTATGAATCAAAAGGTTCCAGATAAGCGTAATCGAAACCAAGATGCAATCATTTAATGGTCTGTTCTGTGGACTGAGATTGCCAAAGAGAACGAGCTTCTGGCTTCTCACTACTTCTAGCCTTTTACTCTCTCTCTTTTCAACCAGCCCAATTACTCTATGAGTTAAAATAGCCGTCCACCACCGGAAGAAGCTTTAAACCGCGACAAAATGGATCCTGAGCCTGAAAAAAGCGCCGAAATTGCGACAGTGAATAAAAAGAATACAAATAGCCACAGCAACAATGGCCAGCCTGTCAAGCAAGTGGCTAGAGTGCAAGCAGACACGGTTAACCAGTACCCAACCGGCCTGCGTCTCATCCTACTTGCTGGAGCATCCATAATGGGTGTCTTTCTGATATCTCTAGACCAGGTCAGTAGCAGCGGTTGCGATTTGGCCATTCTCGCTGGCTAATCTCTAACTTCACGTACAGACCATTGTGGGCACAGCAATTCCTAAGATCACGTCCGATTTTGGTGGTTTGAGTGACGTGTCCTGGTACAGCGCCGCCTACTTCATGACATTTGGCGGGCTCGAGGCGTCATGGGGCAAGGCATTCAAGTATTTCGACATCAAGTGGACCTTTATCCTGTCCCTGGCCATCTTCGAGGTCGGCAGTCTGATATGCGCCCTTGCGCCGAATTCAGTGGCTCTAATCGTTGGCCGGGCCGTTGCCGGTGTCGGTGCTGCAGGTATCTCAGTCGGCGGCACGAGCATTGTGGCTTTCAGCACTCCGCCAAAGACGCGACCGGTCCTCATGGGATTCATTGGCCTGACGTACGGCCTGGCTTCTGTTTTGGGTCCTATCATTGGCGGCGCCTTCACTGAACGCGTCACCTGGAGATGGTGCTTTTGGTTGAACCGTAAGTAATCAAAAGCTTCCCCAGCCCCTTTTGACGGGTTTCAAGCTATTTGGCGGAGGAATACTTCTTGTTAGTAACGGCAAGGGTGAACTGCGTTTGATATGACGCTTGGACAGGAATTGACTGACCCGCGATATAATAGTGCCGGTTGGAGGAGTAGCCATCGCCATTGTCCTATTCTTCTTCCATCTCCCTGCCGCCGCCCGACCCCCTCCGATCAGCTTGAAGCATAAACTGCTTCATTTGGACCCTGTAGGTATCGCTCTCACAATGGCGGCCATCATTTGTTTTATTCTCGGGCTCCAGTATGCAGGCACAGTTTATCCCTGGCGGAGCAACCAGGTCGTCGGTCTACTCGTGGGGTTTGGCCTCTTGACAATAGCCCTCGTCATCTGGTCTATCTATATTGACGAGTACGCCATGCTGATCCCGCGCCTTTTCAAGAAGCGGACGCTTTATTCAGTATGCCCTTACCAGTTCTTCTTTCTGGGGGATCTCATTCTGCTGTTGTACTATTTGCCCTTATACTTCCAATCTGTCAAGGGCGCCACCGCTATTGAATCGGGCGTTGACAACCTGCCCATTGTCATTTCGGTCGCTATATTCGCTGTCCTTGGTGGACTCTTTGTCGCAAAGACCGGTTAGTCTACCAGCTGTTGACTTCGTTTACACTAATAAGAGATCCTGATTCTCGAGCAGGCTATCCAACGCCAACCATGTTTGCCGGCGCCTTAGTCGGCACAATTGGGTGCGGTCTGCTCTATACCTTGGAGCAAAACACCTCGCCGGGGAAATGGATTGGTTACCAGATCCTCACCGGCTCTGCTATCGCCTTCTCGGTCCAGAACGGCCTCAACATTGCGCAGGCGAGTGTTGACCCCGAAGACCTGCCAGCCGTAACGGCTAACCTTTATTGTGAGTACCTTACGCGGAGCGATTACTTTACCAAAGTTGACAAGATATGTAGTCTTCCAGACAGTTGGCGGTGCTTTCACAGTCTCTGCGGCACAGGCTGCCTTTATCAACCAGGCACTTGATCGGTTGCGTACATCTACAACCGATATCGATCCAACACGACTTATCACGGCAGGCGCTTCGGAGCTGCGGAAAGTGTTCGCTCAAGAAGAGCTCCCTGGTGTGCTAATCGCATACATGCACGGGCTCAAAGCCGCCTTTGCTGTCTCCATTGGTCTCTGCGGCATTGCTTTCCTGACAACCTTGTTCATCCCTTGGGGCAGACTACCGACCCACGAGCCAGGTGCAGACAAGCAAAGCATGTCCATTCTCGATTCTGCATAACAATGCCTGCGATTTTTGTCACCTCGGTCATGGGGTCTTGCGGGGAGTGCAACCTTGAAGGTAAAGCAAAAAGAGTTCGCGCCTTGAACAACTCATTTCATTCATCTCAGAAGTATTGAGTGGGTTCTAATAAGATATGCATCTGGTGAAATTCCTCTGTCGAGCCTTGTATTCATTTCTATTTAGAGATAGATTATACTAAGACTTTATTATAAACAAACTATAGTAGTACCACCAAAGAGAGAAGTCGTGTTATATATATATATATATAATTGGACGAGACGGGTAAATTAGAGTGCGAATAAGCTCTGGCTGGGGTTTCATTGACGTCTTTCTTACTCTGATAGTGCTATAGCGCCGTCTTGCGTGGGAGAATACGAATGATAAACTTTAACAACAATGAAGCTGCCAGGGCCCGAACAACTCAACGCAGTGAATTTTTTTTTTTTTTTCCCTCGCATATGGGGTCTCATATTTAATGCGTGGGAGAATACGAATGATAGCGCCGTCTTAGTCTACAAAGATCTGCGTGACTCTGTTCGTGACAGGGACAATCGATTGGCACGGCAGTGGAGCAACCCTTTACCTTCTGTTTGGATAGGTCTGAACGAGGAATAAGACATTAAATAAAAGGTGATATCCCAAAAATAGTAATTTATCAGCTATCTGATATTAGGGCAACCTTGCCCCGTGAGTTGAATGATAAGCTAGGTTGAGCGGTATTAAGCCAAGATATGGTAGTAGTCTTTATTTAAAAGCTTCTAAATAGCCAGAAAGTGCATTGTGTTACCGGCACAGCCGGTGCTTATCATTGCCGCGGATGCCAGTGTCTGAAGGAATGTTGATTGTCAGTGGTGGAAGTCGAGTTAGCAAAGTGAATGTGACTCACCAGCCTCGTTGCAACAATCGTGATTTAGCGTATCTTCACAAGTACTCAACCATCGGTAGAGAGCGGACAGCAAATACCGCCTTATAGTAGAAAGAGAGTAGTTTAATCAGACTTGACCATTTACGCAAATCCAGTGATTCTAAGTTTTATGGATCTTGTTATTGACTCTAGATTCGTAGCCATACCACAATTGCAAAACCGATGTGTTCGTAGCACTCACTATGGTTGCTATCATATCCTACTCAAGAACAACCGATCCATTTGAATATCTTAGTGAGTTTCGAGATAGTACGTCTGGTCAATATTCACTGCGTTGAGTTGGTCGGGCCCTGGCAGTTTCATTGTTGTTAAACTTTATCTTCTTTTTCTCCTACGTATGTCTGGTCAAATGAGCGCATTTTAATCTCCTTGCCCATATCTCCTACAGGATCTTTGTGGCACCGCCGCTCGCAGCGATGACACTGCCTGTGACCCAACCCGCCCTCTTGCTGACCAGCAGTCCTGCTACGTTGGCAATGTCCTCTGCTCGCCCCATGACGCCCAGCTCTGCCTTGTTGTTGCGGATTACCTTCTCAGCAATGTCTTGAAGCGCTGGTGGAGAGTTCTTCATGGCATCAGTCGCTGTCGCCCCCACCGACAAGGAGTTGACCGTTGTGCCAAGACTAGATGCATTATGCCCGAGTGTATCAGCCCAGGCGCGTGTAAGCGACTCCATGGCGCATTTGGTGGCGGAGAAGATAAGCATGCCACTGAGTTTCTGTGTCAGTTTTCGAGTTGATTATCTCCTCACCCCAGATCTAGCACAAGTTGAGTGGGCTCCGTCGAAAACTTACGGGAAAGGGAGATTGGTCATCTTCGCCGTGTCACTCGACACGTTGACTACCCGAGAATCGGGCTGAAACAGGTTTTGCCGGTATAAGGTGTCCATCAATATAACCAGTGCCGTAATATTCCCTGACAGAATTCGGTTGACGTGAGCGGCATCTAATCGACCCATTGGGCGGAATTCGTAGTATGCTGCATTGTTGACGAGGATGTTGAGCTTGGAATCAAAGCGCTCGACCACGGTTCGGGCGACGAGTTCAGGGGTTTCGTCGGAGGTGACATCCGCAGCGATGCCAAATATCAAGGGCGGCTGGAGTCCCGCGGCCGTAAATGTTCTCGTCACCAATTGCTCCAAAGTCTCCAAGTGGTGCAATGAGCCAGCAGAGGAGCAGGTGCCAATGACACTGGCCCCTCTCATGGCCAGGTGGAGGGCTATGGCGCGCCCGATACCGCGGGACGCTCCGCTGCGAATAACACATTAGAAGTCAACATGTGCTCTCGAATAAGGCAGTCTAGAGATACATTGCGGCTCTAGTCGCTACTGTTCAGGGTGGGTTGCTCACGTAACGACTGCATTCTTGCCAGCAAGGTCCTGTTCAAGGACACTCAAATTCTCTTCCACCGTCATTTGTTTCGTTGAATGAATTTGCAAAGGGCAAAAGTAGAAATGTTACTATCATAGGAGACCGGTAATCTTTGAATTGTATAGCTAGGCTTTTAGAAATGAAAAGGACATGGAATTTGCGCTTTATAAAACATTAGTTGATGAATCACCATCGGACATCTCGCGACTCCCGGACATTTTCAAAATGCCGGACTATCGCCGTCACGCAGTGACTTTGATATAACGGACAGTCGACCCATACTGATTTATAAGACAGACAGATGATGTACCTGTGAGGAATCTGAATCATCTTGGGGCCAGCGACTTGGAAACCCAAAAGTGACTCCCATCTCGCACTGCGCTGCACTAAAAATGACATACTATTTCCGGATGTATTGACTTAGATTCCGCCCCCTGCCGTGGATCGATTGTCAGTGAAATGCGTCCCCTTGATTCGAAGCCCAGCTATTGACCGCGCGGTTAGTGGGGCAACCGCGCGGTTCGAACAAGCCAAGCCTCATGCTTGTGGGGCAACCGCGCGGTTCGAACAAGCCAAGCCTCATGCTTGTGGGGCAACCGCGCGCCGAGGACCTTAGTTGAATACCAATGCCCTGTTCCAAGTATCCTGGTCATGATCAAGAGAGACACGGTACTGCTTGGGCACCACATTCCTGTCAATGCTCAAGTCTTTCTCAATCTGACAGGGTTATCTCTTACAACTCCCCCACTCGCTATACAAGAACAATTCAGATTCCATACCGCCAAAAGGTACAAACACAAAGCCCTTCATGGCAACTGGGATGATTTTGACCCCGCTGCTTTCAGGCCTGGAAGGTGGTGAAGGCAGGATGAGCAAGGGGCCATAATGTTTAGCCGATACAATGGCCCTTCTCTGTCATTGGAGCAGGCAACAGAGGTTGCGGGGACCAGAAACTTGGATATTTCTTTTGAGATCAGACTTATATTGACATTTCTCTTGTGGTTAGTCAAATTCGACCTTAGGTCCTGAAAGTTTGGTTTCATGGGAGACGTATGACTCGCTTGCAACAGGGCCAAAGCAATATACTGATCGGATCTACGATGCTCAGATCTATGATTGGGATTAGACAAATGAGTTGCAGTCAAAGAAAAACTGGCAGGCAGCTTGAAGACGATATATGGCAGTATCCTGCATTTAAAACCTTCCCCAAAGCTAAAAGGAGAGTGCATTGTATTGCCGACAGAGCGGGTGCTTATTATCGCCGTGAATGTCGGCGCCTGGAGGTGTAGTACCAGCCTGTTTATACGTAGCGAGTTGAGTCTTGCAGTACTGCCCTTCCTGCCTGGCTGTCTCGGACCCAAGATGTCACCGTGTCTTGCTTAACCGGCTTGCTCTCCGGGAGATCCCCCGCATGCCGTGGAATAGCGCGCGACAGGCACCATTGCGCAACGATTGTGGGGTTGATCTCAGTCGCATCGGCAGAGAATGATTACTAGGGGCAAGTCCTTCCCCAAGATCACATCAGAATCGGCATGTCGCCTGAAGGAATGTGGCGGCTGCGCACCCGGCATAACCCCCGGTATACCGCCATGATGTTACTCCTCCAAGGTTCTTTTGGTGTGTTTTCTGTTTGGGCGGGCCATCACTTTAAATCGTGGTTGTCTAGGCTTGAGTGGCCTTGAATCGCGGTGCAACTGGTCTATAATTAATTGTCTCGCCTTACAGGCCTCATTGTTCACCAACACTATACCTATTATCTCACCAATGGTCTTCTGAACAACCACCAAAGCCATGCTACTGTTACTCCTATCCCAGGTTCTTCTGGCGACGGCACGGCATAACCCAGTGCTGCCCGGGTGAGCATCGTCATCATGGCCAGATTCTGATCAGAGCTTACTCATAACTATAGATGGAACCCAGACCCAAGCATTCTCCAGGTCAATGGCACTTACTATCTCGCGACGTCTAGTTTCGAGTATTTCCCAGGAACTCCCATCTACTCTTCTAAAGACTTGGTCAACTGGGATCTGATCTCTCATGCACAGACCTCGCCCAGTCAAGTTCAGCTCTATGGGACGCCGACGGGAGCGGGAGTTTGGGCGCCTACTCTGTCCTACATCAATGGCTTGTTTTATCTCGCATCCATGACAAGATGGACCTATGATCCAGTGGCACGAGTTTGGCCGCGCATCATGTATATGACCTCGCCAGATCTGATCAACTGGTCAGATCCTATCTGGACCGAGCCCTGGGGAATTGATCCTGCTCTTTTCCAAGACCCCAAGAACAGCAAATCTTATCTTTCCCTCATGGCCCCGAACAATAATGTTGATCGAGTTTGGGGAATCTACCAGTGCGAGATAAACCTCGCCACTGGTGAGTGTTCAGGGCCATACATTAACCTCTATAACGGTACTTTGCCACAAAATAGCAGCTCACGTCTCGAGGGGCCAAAGATGTTCTACAAGGACCCCTATTACTATCTCCTCACTGCCGAGGGGGGGACGGACGATCAGCATCGATCTACTATTGCCAGGTCTAGCTCTCCAGAGGGACCATTCGATCCGGCACCAGACAACCCGATTCTGTTCAACGGTCGCTGGGGATTCGACAACCTGACAGTACAGTCTACTGGACACGGCACCTTTGTTGAGACTCCAACCGGAGAATGGTTCTGCGTTTTCCTGGCAAGGCGAAAGGTCAATGGTTCTTCTCCTCTAGGTAAGGGGTCCCGTTAAGTAGACTACAATGTACTACAATGTGCCATATCACTGACCATGCGCAACACCACGTAGGACGAGAGACCTTTCTCACTAGTGTGATCTGGGAAGATGGTTGGCCAATACTCAACCACGGCAACCCAATTCTCCTCAGTGAACCGGTTCAGGGTATATCGGCTGAGAAGAGCGAGATAACATCGTTCGTCGAAGACTTTTGTGGGGAAACACCAGATCTTTCCTGGTATCAGCTCCGAATACCATATACCAAGAATTACGCCTTGACATCAGAACATCACAATCACGGGATCTATGGGCCTCACATGAACTCCAGTGTTGACGAATCCTGCGCCCTTGTTCTAAGACCGAATGTTTTTAGTCTGAGCGACCGAGATACCCCAGCTGCTCTGCTCCGTAAACAAAAGTCATTGAACATGACATTCTCGGCGACTTTGCTAGCAACAAACTCCTCGCTGAACTATCGCCAATCAATCGGTATTTCCATTTACCTCAGCGAGTTATCGCACCAGGACGTCGGGGTAAAGGGCTGCGCCAATACTACAGGGCTATGTGCATATTCTCAAACCATGATAAATGGGACTACTCAGGTACGTCAATATGAAAGCATTAGAAGTCAACGTATAATCTGATACAAACTGGGCTATTTAGGGAAAGGAGATCTCGTTAGGTCTGGCCACCATTCCGCGGAACATTACGCTCTACATCCGAGCCCAGCCACTCTCGTATACGTTGGGCTACTCAATCAAGGAGGGCGAGACGACCTGGATTGATGAGATTTCCTCAAAATGGTTGGCCTGGGCCCCCAGTAATTGGCTTGTATTCACTGGAGCAAGCTGGGCCATCTTTGCTAGCGGAGGAGGAGAGCCTTGGCAACCTTCGGGTGCTATGGTAGGGTTTACAAAGGTACGCGAGGAATACCTGGAGGAGAATATCCCAGACTACGACATATGGTAGCGGAGTTTCCAACGTCGAGATCATCATTCTTCCAGATAGTGCTAATGTAGTGTGTTTATATTATGTAAATCAGCCGAAGCACAGTCTACTAGCAGCGTACCTAAAGATTCTTTGCGCTTGAATTGGTGGTGACCAGTACGACTAAGTTTTAGCATTAGAAAGAGTAGAGATAGAGCAAACGTCAAAAAGGTAGGATAGCATGTCGCTGTGTAGATCTACGCAAGCTTGCAGCCTAGAGGTGAAAGTGGCTTCATTAGAGCATGCAATGCTCCTGTATTAATACCACAAAAGTGCCAGCATCTAAGTTCTAACGTTAATATTCCCTAAACCCTCGGGGCCCAGCTTGCCTCCGCCCCAAATTGTTCGATGATTGTCATTATCGAACCGACCTTGCCCATGATACGACCAGATCAAGTCACCCCAGCCGGGGAAGTCGGTACCTCCTATTTTGATTAGCAACTCTTGTTTTTAGCAGCTATCGCGACTTTCTGTAGTGTTTGGAACTTTACCGGAGCCCTCGCCACCGACAGCGTCGATTGCCTTCTTCATCCTTGTCGTATACTCCGCCTCCTTGCCTTTTTTAACAACATACTGGTAGTAAATAATCTGCATCACCAGGATTAGCTGTGTGGACTATGAAACCCTGGCCTGGCATAATCTGGTTATAATCAGGTATAGGGGACTTACGTCAAATGCACCGGCAGTGATGCCACGGCTGATGTTTGAAGGTTGAGCCCAGGGTCCGTTGACGAGGACTGCCTCGCACCGGTAGAAATTGCGGTCATATTCTACATCGTAGCCGAGATTGTACTTGGCAACATATTCACTAGCCTTGAGAAGAAGATCATCGCCGTAGCCATAGACGTCACGGCCCTGGCTTTGGATCACTCGAGCAGCCTGTGCGGCCCAAGCAAGTGCTCCCTTTGCGTGGCCTTGATCACGACCAATTTCAGCACCTTGCCCTGTGGGCACCTGGAAGTTACCGTAGACGCCACCGCAGGGATCATTCTTCCATGCATAGAGGGCATAGTTATACTACATAGCACAGGTCAGCTTTGTGTCTGCGTCTAGCTAGCTTCAAGAAAGCTTGAACCTACCAAGGCCACATCGTCAAGATAGACGGCAAAAGACAATAGTGCTTTGATGCTCGCCATACCGTAGTTGGCCTGTCCAATGTTGATGGACTGCTTGGCGAACAGCCAATATAGCTGATTGGAGAAACCAGACGTACCCATCCATTTCGCTCCCTGCTCTACCCAGCTGCCTTCCCATCGCATAATCTCCGCAGCATTGACGAACAGGTCGCCTTCCAGGCCGACCAGAAGAGATGTATCGACACCGATGATGTCGGTCAAGTTGGTACCCCATGCATCCAGGATCGACGCAGCCTTGTCCCAGTGCCCCTGGTCGCGGGTGATGTACCACATCAGGGCATTTTGATACGCGCCACGTACATCTGAAGTGAACGTAGTGTAGTTGTTGCAGCCACCTCGGCATAAAATCTTGTGCGGACCGCGCATTTCGTACTAGACCAGGCTCATTAAAATCAAATAAGATTGCCACCATCTTTCCGTTTGCTTTTCACATTCAGCAAGGAGTCACTTACATCCGCCATGGAAAATTCGCTCGCACTGAAGTTCTTAAAAGCAGAGGCATAAGGCTCTTCGCCCTGCTGGACACCGACTCTTATCCTCTCGAGATCATCGTGTGTATGCCAGAGGCCAGGGTGAACGAACTGTCCAGGTCCCGACTTCATATCTGGATCACCTCGGGGAACTATGGGGATAGGACCATTCAGAACGGGCAGGCCGTTCAGACCACCGGTCGCTGTAGCAGGCGGTACTATGAAGGCAAGCCCGCCCAGCAAGACCCGTACGAGTGGGAGACAGTTCCACATCTCTGTGTAATCGCTTACCCTTTGTCGCTCGTACCTTTCTTACTTCTACAGTTCCTGGAGTGAAAACTTGAATATAACACAAAATCGAATTGATGCAATCTGGCTGTGATCGAAGTAGACTGGGCCGTAGGAAGAGTGCTCTCATATACAAGATGTCTTCAATCTCAATAAACCGGTGTGTAGTGTCGGGCTGCTCCCGATATCCAGGTACACACTCTGCACCAGGTGGTAGGTTTCTCTGCAAGTCAAGTCGGCTGATGGGACGGCCGGGGCAAGTACGGCGTCATTTTCCGATACGAACCCTTTGCCAAGGTCAACCAGCGGGAACACCAAAAAATGCGGGGGTGAAAGTACTAAATTGACCCAGATAGTGGCCCCTTTCTCGGGCAAAAAGCTGGTCGTGCAAAAATGCTCGTTGGTAGAGTGACGGCGAGGCGTCCTTCGAGTAGCTATCATCTCGCTGTTCAAGATACCCAAGGCAGCTAAAAATACGTCTCAGTACACTCCAAGGTTGGTGGACGTTGGAAATGCACCTCCTTGAAAAGTTTGTAACTGCGGCAGCCAGCTAGGCCCCTTTCGTTCGTAGAGACTAACGTAAATCTAAACGAACCAAACCCGCGGACAAAGTTTCGGCGCAAGGCCGGAGCAGATCTAAGATTCTGTGCGAGGAAGTGTAGGGATCAGCGAGAACAGCTGGGGCAGACCGGAGCATCGTGCACCGAGAATCGCCCCGTTTATACTTGCTTCCCCACTGTGCATTACTCTTTATGCCAATCTTGCTCGATCGATGTGAGGTATTGTGTTGGGGGAAAAACGAACAACACCACAGCTGTTAGCGAGCTTGAAATGCAGACTGCCAACCACACCAAAATCTAACAACCTTCCACAACAGTTATAAAAAGGAGGTTTTGAGTTTTGTGTGTATTCTCATTTGATCAAATGGATCACGTTTACAGCTAGTCAATTGACCGATCGTAGCCGCCGTGAGGTTGCGAAAGACGCATCTTTCATAAGAAGGGATTTTCAAAAGTGAAAATAAGAAGGGGTGAAAAGCATGTCTTTTACTACGGATACGGAAAAATAGCTAATTTATCTAACCTGGCCGGATTGACAAGTGGGCCCCGACTCAGTATTCATCATCATCATCAATGAAACACAGGTGTCAAGGAAACTACGCGGGGTTATCGGAAGAATCCATTGGAAATATTTCGTCGTCGCAGGGGACAACTTGAGCGCCGTGGTGGGGACTAGTTATCGCTTAGGATTAGAGATACTCCAAGTGACCATAAATCTGCTGTCCTTTCAATCTAGGCAAAAGACATCCCGTAGTATCCCTTTGATGCCTATGTGATAATTCTGGCGCGTATCCCAAGGAGTAAAATGTGGCGTAGGGGCAGGTGTTATCCTTGGGGATAGATGTTCACAATGGAGCCGGAAAACTACTTCGCAGAGGCCGGCACTGTGCAATTTTTGGTCGTTTAGTGTTCATGAAGGTGAAATAATTCGCTGTATGTTGTTTCATTGGCATGAAGTGATCCTCCGCAGCCTCTGAGGTTTCTTGTCGATAGGGCAAACATAATGTATTCTGCGGGCGCGTTAATCCCTGGGCGGGCAAACATGAACATGCATGGACTACGTGTCTGTGTTTCAAATTCAGGGGGTCTGAAATGAGTCCGCTGGTGGACTCAGCCACGGTGGTAAATTAAAGGGTTCTAATGTGCCTGGATACGCGTGCTTGATAATAGAATTGGAACCATTTTTCCAGCTCGCGCAATTGATCTACAAACGAAGGTCATATGTCGCCATTTGCTGTTATCTTAGGCAATAAGTGTGAGCAGCGAATAAGAGTGCGATTCTCTGGGTCGATCCAGTTCCGCACGTTTTGTTATTAGCTATGAATAGAATAAATAAAACAAAATTCCTTCCGTTCAAACTACAAGTTGTAGAACGGCAATTGTTCAAGAGGGAATATTAGTGATAATGGCCAAAACAATGTTGGTTCCCTCAAACCAACACGATTGTACCTTGCTAATCAATTTACAGCGATGTCGACGTGCTCGTTATCGGCGCCGGCCCGACTGGCCTCGGTGCTGCCAAGCGTCTCCAGCATTTGGTAGAGGATTCCACACGTTGCATATGAGCTTACACTAACTTGTCATGTAGAGCAGCGTGGACTAGCTCATCGTTGATTCGAATGAGACTCCTAGCGGTCTTGCATCTACCGACATCACCCCCGAAGGCTTCGTAAGAACCCGTTGTGACGTCTGAGAGAAACGAAGCTTACTCGTTCAGCTCTTCGACGTTGGTGGCCACGTTATCTTCTCTCATTACAAGTACTTTGACGATGTTATCAATGAGGCTCTCCCCAAACCAGACGATTGGTACGAGCATCAGCGCATCTCCTACGTCCGCTACCAGGGCCTTTGGGTCCCTTACCCTTTCCAGAACAACATCGCTGTGCTTCCCAAGGAGGAGCAAGCTAGATGTCTCGCCGATCTCATCGATGCTGCCCTTGCGGCTCGCGTGCGATCTCCATCAGACAAACCGGCTAATTTCGACGAGTGGAATGTTCGCAATGTCGGCGAGAGGCTAAATGAGATTTTCATGCGTCCTTACAACTTCAAAGTCTGGGCTGTGCCTACGACTAAGGTATGTTAGATCCAGTGGGATTGTCTCGCCCCTTTGTAACTCTCCTAGATGAACTCTACCTGGGTCGGAGAACGTGTCGCCGCTCCCGACGTTAAGCTCGTCACCACCAACGCCATCCTGAACAAGGCAGCTGGAGGCTGGGGCCCCAACGCCACATTCCGCTTCCCTGCCCGGGGAGGTACTGGCGGGATCTGGATAGCTGTTGCAGATACTCTTGATCAGAGCAAGACTCGCTTCGGCGAGCATGCGGAAGTGACCAAGGTGGACGCTGACTCCAAGACTGCTCACTTAAAAGATGGTATATGAGCCAATTTGCGTCCCTTTTCAAATCCCTCACTAAATAGCAATGTCTAGGAACTGTTGTCAAGTACGGGTCACTCATCTCGACCATGGCAGTGGATCAGCTCGCCGAGTCTCTCGGCGATGGCAACCTTCAAAAGTCGCTTGAGCCGCTGTACTATTCCTCTACCAACGTTGTCGGTGTCGGTATTCGCGGAAAGCGTCCCGAACGCATTGGCGACAAATGTTGGGTAAGGTTCTGCGAGGTTTTAGCTACTGCTTTTGCATAGGCTGCTGACAATCTCCACAGCTGTACTTCCCTGAGGACAACGCTCCTTTCTATCGGGCTACCATATTCTCTAACTACTCTCCCTTTAACCAGCCAAGTGAGGACGTTAAGTTAGCCACCAAGCAGCTCGCCAACGGCGCCAAGCCTGCTAGTTCGGAGCCTAAGTCTGGCCCATACTGGTCCATCATGCTCGAGGTATCCGAGTCCCCGCACAAACCTGTCAACCAGGAGACCCTGCTCGAGGAGAGTATCCAGGGCTTAATCAACACCGACTTGCTCAAGCCAGAAGACGAAATTGTCAGTACTTACGTCCGTCGTTTCGACCACGGATACCCTACGCCTACTTTAGAGCGCGACGGTGCGCTGTCGGAGGCGTTGCCCTACCTATACGACAAAGACATTCTGTCACGAGGTCGCTTTGGAGCTTGGAAGTATGAGGTTGGCAACCAAGATCACAGGCAAGTCATCCCTGCCGATGGACTTAGAAACTCGTCAGCTAATACGTCTCTCATAGTTTCATGCAAGGTGTTGAGGCGGTTGACAACATTATCGCTGGTGGTCTGGAGCTTACTCTTTCCAACCCTGATTTTGTCAATACACGAAAGAATACCGAGCGTCGTCTTGCAGGTATCAAAGGTGCTCGGAAGTAAAACATTGTAGATAGCCCTATCCATCGTCATTACTCGAGAACGAAACTCACATCAATATCCTCGAGAGGGAGCGAAGTTCTTTCCTGTAAGTAGAATGAATTTGTAGTTAGGGAAGATATCGAGAAACCTTTTTCCGTCTGGGTAACTTTCATATCGAATCTGGGTTCCGCAAGACGCAATCCAATCTTTGAAAATCCTAGTCTATATATTTAGAGCGTTTATAGGGAGCAGCAAAAGTCCTGTATCCTAGCGTTCCTTGCCTATGTATTGCGGAACTTGAATGAAACCTTTATTTAGGGTACGATAGAACAACTAACAGATGAATTCTGTGGGGGACAGATTTACCTATCATTCGCTCGCGGGATGGCTACAGACCGGATTTAAAGTAAGCGGGAGCTACGGGCAATTCAGAATGTCCGTGTTTCAGAAAAAAATACCTCCGTACACCATCACGATGCATGTACTGTCAGCAGAGATTGATGAATACCCTGACTCTGCATGCCCATGGCGAGTCATCTGCACCATTCTATTTGTCAGCCTGCATTCATCATGAGCTTCTCAACAATCGTGGAAGCGAGCCGTCATCGCTTGGAATAGTAACTTGTCCGAAAAGTCCGGGGCCGAAATGCTCCACACAATTAATATACGCCAAAACTGCGAACAGCCAGTCTCAGACCTTGTCAATGCATAAATTGGCTGGCACGTCCGTTTGGAATGTTGTTCGAAAGCAACAAACCACCTGTGCTTGCCTCGCCTAAGCGACATGATGACTCTCTACGAACAAGCTCCCCTGTGCATTGCTGGCTTTGCGTTGGTCATTGTCGTCGTCGCCGTAGGCTTCCCCGTCGACCCGACAATATAGACTCCTAGGATTGACAGGCTAACAAAGGGTGTCGGCAGTATACGTGGCAGGTGTTGAACAGCCCCATTTCTAAGGTTCCCGGCCCTTGGCACTCAAAATGGACAAGTCTTGCGAGCAAATATCAATTTCTCGTGGGCAAAGAGGCTTACTATGTGCATTCACTACATCAAAAATACGGTATTTGAGTCGCATGCACTGACAAACATACTATCTGGCTAATTAACTATCGTTGAACCAGGCCCAATAGTTCGCATCGGACCTAATGAGGTTGATATTAGCGATGTCCAGGCTGTTCAGACGATCTACGCCATCAAGTCGGAATATACCAAGACAGAATGGTACAATCACCTAACCTCGTTGCCTGTTAGAAACTTATTTGATGCTACTGATTTGGAGTATCATCGACGCCATCGCCGACTATTGGGTGCAAACATGACAGAGTCATCGCTAAAGACATTTCTCCCTATCATCGTACCCAAGGTTGACCTAGCTATTCTTCGCATGCGTGAGGAGATGAAAACTCGTGGGGTGGTCGATGTCTGGAAATGGTGGCTCTTCATGGCCACAGACATAATTGGCGAGTTGACATTTGGGGAGTCTTTCCAGACGCTTGAGCAGGGACGAGTAAGTGAAGTGATCCATGCTAATATCTCCGATTGCGATACTAACCACATAATGCCGTCTCTTGTAGAAAAGTGCGTATACCGAGCAGCTCGAGTTGGTAGCGCCGTTGAGCGCCATGCGGTCCATGTTTCCAAACCTAGCAACTATTGTCAAGGCGTTACCCATCCCCATTTTCAGGCAGGCAGTTGAAGGGACGAAGAAACTTCGCCAGTACTCGATGGATTCGCTCTCTCGCCATCAACGCCTTGTCAACTCGGATCCCACTCGGGCAAAGCAATCTCTTTTCACCAAGCTCTACAAAGCCGTTGATGAGAACGAACTGAGTTTTGAGGAGCTACTAGCTGAAGCTCAAGGCTACATTGTTGCCGGAAGCGACACAACAGCCAACACCCTGACATACCTTGTCTGGTCTGTCGCACGCCGACCGGATATCAAAGCAACCTTGTTGAGCGAGCTCAGACAGTTGCCTGCAGACTATAGGGAATCTGATCTGCGCCAGCTTCCGTACCTCTCCGAGGTGATTGAAGAGACTCTGAGGATGTACTCTGCCGTCCCCGGGGGTTTGCCGCGCAGTGTTCCTGTTGGGGGGGCCGACCTTGCTGGGTACTGGTTACCGACCGGTACCACTGTAAGGGCCCAGTCCTACACCATGCACCGCGACCCCTTTGTGTTCCCGAACCCGGACGACTTTCATCCTTCGCGATGGAGAAAGCCTACCAAGGCTATGTTGGACGCTTCGATGCCTTATGGTAGGGGGTCACGAGGTAAGACGGGATGCGATCCTTCGAGTAGACTTACACTAACCCACGCGATGTGTAGTTTGTATTGGAAAACATCTTGCTTACATGGAGCTTCGTCTTGCTACAGCACGCTTCTTCCTCGCGTTCCCAGAGGTTAGCGTTTCCGCAAAAGAGGGTATGACTGACGAGGACATGCTGGCCAAGGTCTTTTTTCTTCTATTCCCACAGGGCAAACGATGTCTGCTGGAGTTATGAGTAAGTAAAGTGACGACATCTTGCTTCTATATCCCCTGTGTGCAATAACGACAGAGATACTCATAATGTGTCAAGGCTATACCTTAGAAAATTAGAACAAGGGAAACCAAAGTAATGATTTGTTATTATACTTGTTATCATCTACGTATGCTTATATACCTGGGGCTAAACTCTAGTCTATGTTTAGGTATTTTCAGTGATAATTGATGCTCGCTCAAGTGTGTAGGTAATTCTTTCCACATAGCAATATTTAGTTAAGCTCACTTAGCTAGATCAGCTATACCCTTCGTTTTTGCTGTTCTAGGGAAGGTAAGGCATCTGTATATTTCAAAGTAACAGCTATTGTAATTTCCACGATATTCTTTTTGTTCACTGTTATGGTGATGGATGGAATCGGTTATCTTCAAACACCGTCCCCGGGAGCAAATATCTTCATCCAACGCTGGCATAATTCGTTAGTAATTGTTTCCTTCAATTGTCAGTTAAATCCAACTCACCTGGTCATGAGGTGTGCCGGATTCGACGAAGCGAAGGTCTGTCGCAAGCCTGATTATATTGCCAGGGTCACAATTCTTGCAACTAGCATGAACAATCCATGGGTTGTGAAGAACAACGTCACCCGGTTCGTACTGGGCAATTAGCCACTTGCGATTAGCCTCTTGACCATAGACCTTGGAGTCTCTGCTAAGAAATCCTCCATCGTTCATGTTCTTATTGAATGCAGAAATACGCTCCTCCTCGGTCAGGTTCCAGGAGTTGCGTGCAAATTCTTCCTCGGTCTTCTTGCCAATATCATGCGATCTCTCCAGATACATAAGACCTCCACCCTCCAACGAGACACCTCCAAGAGGAACCCAAGCAGTAATGCTGGACGGAGGCCCAGCTCGGACGTACATCTGGTCGTAATGGACCGCAGTCATCTCACTATTAGGAGTGTAGGGCCGCAACAGGGTTCTTGTGAGCATCGTTTCACTCTTCCAGCCAGTGAACTTCCGAATGAAGGCTCGAAGTTCAGGATTCTGCACGAAGTTAAGATAGAATGGTGCGCTGTGGGCCTTGATCATTAGATCCACGTAATGATCAGACTCCTTGTCTCCTTTCAGACCAAAGAGGCGGCGGATGTTGCCTGGAGGTAGATACTTCCGGCCATCAGCGCCACAATACACCCCATCGATAGGATCTGACCCCTCCTTCAATATTCCACAGGGTGCAACAAACTCAAAGTAGTTTTTCCTGCACTCGAGGACGGCATCTCTTGGGAGTACATTTTTTACCTATCGCAAAGGTTAAAAAGGTGACAATTAGCAATTAATCTCTCTGTTGCGTGCGAGCCATCGCAGTTCACAGAATAGCTATGCACTAACCAAGAGGTAACCATCTCGTTCGAATCGTTCCCGCATAACCTCGACGGGGGTATCCAGCGAGGTAGGTTGCAGGTAACCCATTTGCTCAGGGGCCATGGGCCCAAAGCCAGACTCCAAGTTTAGGTCCCTGAAGTCTGAAGGGTGATAGCGCCCATATTGATCATTAGCAGCAAGTTCTTTGCTAGGGAATACCGCTGATTGCGGAGTATCGATTAGGGCTGGGGCCATGCTGAAATATGGTGGAGGGAAAGCTGTAACCAATGATGTTTGTGAAATGGATAGTGCATTCATCCAATTCCGTTCGCTTCATGATTGGGGTCTTAAGTAAAAATAAATAAAACGTTGTTCACAGAGACAGTACAACAAAACAAGCCAGACAGTAAGTTGCCCACGATACGATGGTCAGTCACCCCACACATCCAACCCTTGTGTGGGGATTTTGCGGAGAGCTTTAGTCTCTACTAATACAAATCTAGTTCATTCCCCTTGCTCACCTGAACATCTATAGCCGACGAGCGAAGTATCTGTGTATAGCCGCTCGGAGACCGGCTTTGTAGAGAGCGGGGTAGGATTGAGAATGACCTAACAAGCCTGAATGGCTGCCAAGTGAGCAACTCGATGATCCATCGTATCGCATCCTCATCCCTTCTCAGGCTAGAAATCATACCATGACCAAAAGTACAGGGGAGAGAATCTGCCGCGCCTGTATTCGATGCCGACAGAGGAAGACCAAATGTGACCTGTTAGTGTTACTACCCGGATCGTATCCTAGATTTTTCTGACATCGTCTATTAGTGACTCAGTAGAAGAGCCAGGGAAGCCTCCCTGTCTCAGCTGCCACCTTGACGGCTACGAATGTGCTCTTGCCGGCTCAAAACGCGGCGGCGACTACTCGCATATGAGACGGAAATCTAAGAATGCGAGAAACCGTAGCCGTCAGCCACCGGCTCCTGAGCCACAGCCGATTCAAGGTATTGAATCTCATCCACCTGATCCGCACCAATCTCAGCAGCCCGATCTGTGCACTGAGCATTCTACTGGAGTTCAGAATCCCCTCGAAGCGCTTCAAATCTTAGTGCAAGCAGCAGCGGCCAGCCCATCTTCGACAAATAAGGCCATTAACGGATCTCCAGCCGGCCAAAACACTGCTCATCCTCTTGGGGTTTCACCTCCAGATACGTTGGAGCACGGGCGAACGGCCGCCGGAAACGCGGTGCGAGGACTTGAGTCATATGGTCCCTTAGCGAACGGGCTACTGGACACGACTATGCTTGACCATCTACTGCAACAGTAAGCTTATGGAATCTCAGCCGGCGATATCCGTCTCTCCTTTCCCTTGTATCATAGAATACTAACCTTATCCAGCTATGCCGAACGATACCACCCATTCATGCCTATCGTGCCTGAGCATGTGCTTTCGCCCCAAAAGATCCAAAAGACGGCCGCCGAGGAGCCCTTTCTACTGACTTCAATTTTGACAGTGTCAACAAAAGATAGAAAAGGGTTCGAAATGTTGCAGAGAGGTCTCTGTTCCTATATATACAAGGGAATTATAGATATTGTCATGGGAATTTCTACAGCTCCCAGTGTTGGATCAGTGGAAGGTTTATTGCTTCTCGCAGAATGGGTGCCGCATGCTGACATCGGTGCATCCTCCTTCAAGTTGCCTGCGAGCGGAGAAGACAGCGCAGCATGGTCTTTGGTTGGCTTAGCTGTGCGGCAAGCCTACTTGCTCCATCTCGATAACTATGCTTTCCGGACGGAAATCAAGGATGAGCCGCAAGCGCTATCTGATCGAAAGAGGCTTGCATGGACGTGTAAGGCTTTTCACTTCAACTTGCTTTCCAACTGCTTACAGTTCTAAATCACAGTTACGTATTTATCGGACCGCCAGATATCCATCCGCATGGGCCAAGCATTTTGGTGTCGAGGGCCAGGCTCGTCTGCAAGGTTTGCAGCAGAAGACTACCCGACACTGCGACCAAAAAATCTCTATGATGACGATTACGCTTCTATCCTCATAGCTCAGGTGGACATGACCACACTATTCGGGACTGTGCACGACATTTTATATGCATCCAAAGCCAGGACCGTCGCCTTGATGCTTAGAGGTGACTACACAAAATATCTAGATGACGGTCTCAAAGGTCTGGAAGCCTGGAAAGACTCGTGGGGCCGGATCAAAATCCCCTCTCATCTCAGATCTTTGCTTGATATGCAGTATGAGTATTTGAGTCTGTATGTCAACGCGTTCGGCTTCCATGCGGTTGTCTGCAGAGCACTCGACCAGTCGCGCAACTCACCACGCGGTGCCCAAGGGGTCTCTTTCTTCCCACACGGTGTCCTAGCCTGCCCAGACAGTCGGTATATTTATTCTGCCACCGAGGCAGCGAGCAACTTGCTCCATATCATCAGTCAACGTGTGGACCCTGTGAAACACACACGGTATTTGCCAGCACGGTTCTACCTGTTAGTTTGTCCCCATGTCTTCGAACTCCAGATGAATTAATTGCTCATACGAGAAACTCGACCCAAGATACACAATCCACTCTGCCGTTTTTCTCTACAGGGCCCACAGTCTGGGTGCTTTGTCCGAAGAAGCCCACCAGCGATCTACCAAACTAGTACGGGAGTTCTTGACAAAGTTAGAAGCTGCAGCCAGTAGTGAACAGCATATTGCATCCAGATACAGAAAGCTCGTGTCTAGTCTTTGGTTTCAAGAAGAAACAGAACCCCTGGAAGGCTTTACCCGACCCCGCGGCTCTTCACACCCGTCGTCTCGGCCTTCCTCGGCTTTAGATCGGGGTAGCAATACCCCTTTCACTAACGAGTTCAGTCTGATGACTACGACGGGCTCTAATGCGCCTTTGGACCCAGATTCATTTAGTCTTGAAAACTTCGGGTTTGGTTCTAATCTTGCAGGGCCAGGGTTTAATGAACAGCCTAGTTTCCTAAACGCTGGGTTAGCATTGCCCAGATCGTATACTTTCTTGGGATTCCCTAACACTGAACCCTTACCCAACCATGGCAGCGATGACTTTGGTTCTTTATTTTCTCGAGGGTTATACGATGTGTAGTTTCAGGAGTCTCTGTTCATAATACGTGTGTTTCTTGATCTTGAATGAAAACTCGACATAGCCCTTCACATTGAATGACATCTTAATTTCACGTCACAATTGTCTCCGAAAGTCTTTACTCAGGTTTGAATCGAGACTGTGGAGCTGGAGCTGGTACGCAACATCTCTGAAAGAACCATGATGGGTGTTAGGACACTTCCTATGGGCCAGCACTCGAACAGTTTAAGGAAGGCGGGACAGCAAAATATCTTGTTCATCTTATTCTACTTAGCGATTTAATATGTTTTTGGTACAGTTACCCCTCTTATAATATCCTAAGCTCTTGCGACATATTAACCTCTCATATCACAACTAATCACTGATGGCAAGGCAGTTAGAAGAGGACATCATCCCCTTAAATCACGCTACCCGAAGCGATATTGACTTGAGTCTTGGAGAACTTGCGGGCCTTGACTTTGTTGTGGAAAAGAATGTTAATTTCCGCGAAAGTTCGGCCTTTTGTCTCTGGCACGCGAAAGAAGGCCCAGACAAAGCAAAGAGCCATGATGCCACCGAAGAACAAACCACACCGAGCACCCCAATTCCAGGACGTCTTTTGAATCATGCGCGGTAAAAGTTGACCATAAACGAAAGTGACGGCGTTGTAGCCTACCCGCCCAAGGGCCACCGTCTTTGTCCGAAGGTACGTAGAGGGGATCTCGGTGACAATGGTATAAGTGATTGGAGCAAGGGTGGCAAAGAAGACAAAATATTGAATCATGAGGATCGATCCCACAGCATTAGCGAGGGCCGGGTGGTGGTTTGTGTCTCCAAGCCCAATGAATCCAATCACGAGTGTGGTCGCGGACATGAAACTGATACCGGTCAAGAGGAAGGTACGACGCCCCCATCGAGGAACCAGGAACCATGCAACAACGGTTCCAACTGTACCCATCGCGTATTGGCCCATTGCAAATTCGAAAGAAGTTGATGTGGGCAAGCCTGCCTGTTGGAGAAAGTAAACAATGTAGGATAGAAGCATGGCGCAGAGCTGCTGAGTGGTATAGACCCAGAAGGCAATCTCTGTTCGTCGTAGGTTCACACCCTTGAAAAGCTCCCAGAATGAGCGTTTCTCTACCTGCTGCTCAGTTTCGGTGGTGTGCTGCATCATGGCGATCGTATCGCTAATGTCGTCCTCTGTGGCGTCCTTTGCGCGCAGTCGACGAACCATCTTAGTGGCTTCTTGGATGCGGCCCTTTCGCACCAACCACCAGGGAGATTCGGGCGCAAAATATACGGCAATGATAATGGGAATCGGGGGGATCCACTGAAGGGCAAAGGGGATTCGGTATGCCCACTCTCCAGTGACGTTGACAAAGCCTCGGATGACACCCGTGCCAATGAGATATCCGATAGACCAACATCCGGGAACGAACATTGTCAAATAGGGCCGCAGGACACCAGGGCAGATCTCAGCAGCATAAGTGGTAGTGAGAGTCTGGAATACGCCCCACGGAATGCCCAGGAGAATTTCTGCCCCCAAGTACATGTAGATGTCCTGAGCAAAGAACTGGAGAAAGACGAAGCCCATAAGCGCGACTAGGCTAACGATCATGACCTTCCGGTTCCCAAAGTATTCAGTGGCATAAGCATTGAGAACCAAACCAACGATTTCGCCCGCAGCAACTCCATTCGTGATGCCTGCTTGAAGCTCCGCGGGGATCTCGTACTGGCCGGATGGATTCAGGCGCCCGTACTTCTGCTCGAATGCCGGGAAGGCAATGAAGCCAAAAATGAACGCGTGGTCGAATCCCTGCATGACAAGCGTCATCGAAAACCAAGCTGACCACCAGGCGGCCGAAGGATACTTGCGAAGACCCTCCATAAGGGTCATTCTATGCTCCTCGTCTGTGGCTCTGAGTGCGCCATCCAGAGCATCCTTTGCGTCGACGGTGACTTGCTGCTCCTCATCTTTGTCCTCAACCACCTGAGCGGAATGGGGCTTTCCAACGTCTTCGACGTGGGTAGGCATAGCGGAGGTTGATTTGGTAGGCTCAAGATAGTTACTAGATGGGTATGATGATGATGGGTACTGATATTTTGCAGCTTCATTTAGTTTGTGACGAGCAAGCTCATTTATACCAGTTTCTTGCCCACCCATGTGGGGGAAAGAATCTAGCTAACAGCATCATCGTCGATACCCCGTGGGGGAAAGCCTGGGGTTGGCTCAACAGCAGAAACACCAATTCTCGGGGTGAACGATCTAGCCAATGTTCCCACAGAATTAAGCTAATAATTCGCTAATGCGAAGGAGCCGCCCCACTGGTCATAGTCCGGATATTTCGCCGTAGTTTGGTTGCGTTGGGCTTCCGTCGGCAATAGACAAGGCACTTCTTATCCACAAGAAGCGCAATCTGAAATTGCCATGAGCCTCTTGTACCTGGAATCGAGGTTTAAATGTTGGTTTTCACGGGTTTCAAATATAGCAAGCCTCATACCTCTGCTGATCACAGTGGTTCGGAATGTATCGAGCCATCCGTGTCGTGTGTCTGTCGCACGGGTGGCTAAAGATGCCGGCTTTAGATACCGGCTGTAGATGGCTCAAGCAACCATGACTAGTTTTCTGGGGAACTCATCACTGAGCACTACCCAATTCCTTGCAATTAATCGGTTATAGAATAATCGCTCCTCGGGACACTAGAGTTTCTGCGCGATTACCGATTGCAATCTCAAACTTTGTGGTTGTTATTGATCAGAAGACTAGGACACTTGTCCGATGTTCGGATGGCCCCCCGAGGTCTACGATGTCGCACTGAGGTTTGCAGTATCGGATCTGCCACCTGTTCTCACCATCTTCCGATACTTTTGCCGTGGGTTGTGCTCACATTAGAAAGTGGATATGAGCGCATACTATGATGCTTTTCGGGGTTTCTGCTTGCCCGTCGGAAAGTCCCAGCCGGGTAGCCAGCCGAGAGCTTTCATATATCATACACCCATTGCACTTGCAATACGTCACGTTTGAGACCCTGGCCGACCGCTTTCATCCTTCGTCTTACTACCCCCAATACTCCTCCTCTCAGTGTGCCGAGGATATATAGAAACACAAGACAAAAATGCATCAAAAAGAAACAATTTTATCCCATTGGGAGTGTGACCCGGCGCAGGGTCAGCTTAGCAATGAGCCCAATGTTTCGCTCAGGGGAGACGACCAGGCGCACACCGGATTCTCATTTACATTCGAGGCTGTCCGCAAGAATATATTCCGCACAACCTTCACTTCCGAAAGCCACCCTCTCCCACCTCACCCCAGCTCTGCGAAAATTGCAACTGATCTTACTGGCACCAGTGTTCTTGTAACCTCATCCGACAAGGCAAAGGAGATTCAGATAGGCGAAGTCAGAGCAACCGTTGACTGGAATTCCAACCCCCACGTTTCTATCTCTCTCGCCAACGACCCCAGTGGGCAGGCTTTGCACTCAGATTTGCCTGGCCGCTCATATGTCGCTGATGGAACGGGTGTTGCACACTACTCCCGCTATAAGAGGGATTCACTTTATATCGGGCTGGGCGAGAAGGCGGCGCCAATGAATTTGTCTGGCCGCCGATTCCAGCTTGCGGCTACAGACAGTTTTGGCTACGACGTCTATCGTACAGACCCATTGTACAAACACATCCCACTCCTAATCAACGCCACGCCTAATGGTTGCGTTGCGCTCTTCTCCGCCAGCCAGGCAAGGGGCGAGTACACTGTTGGTTGCGAAATGGACGGCATGTGGGGGTTTTACAAGGCATATCGACAAAGCTACGGTGGACTGGAAGAATACATCCTCGTAGGTAGAACCCTCAAAGATATCGTCAAGGCTTATGCCGACCTGGTTGGATATCCTCTTCTTGTCCCGCGGTGGGCATTTGGATACTTGGCAGGTGGTATGAAGTACTCTATGTTGGATGAGCCGCGTGCTTCTAATGCCCTACTTGACTTGGCTCGGAAACTGAAGCACCATGACATCCCATGCTCCGCGTATCAGATGGCATCTGGGTATACAATTTCGGAGATACCTCCTAAGACTCGAAACGTTTTCACTTGGAACTACCATCGATTTCCAGACCCTGAAAGATTTATTTCTCAATTCCGCCAGCAGGGTCTCCGGCTTGTGGCAAACGTGAAGCCGTATATCCTCGCTAGCCACCCCGAGTATGAGAAACTAAAGGCAACAAACGGACTTTTCCAGGATCCATCGACGAATACAACGGCAGTCACACATCTGTGGAGCGCCGGTGGAGGAGAGAGTGATGTAGGTGGTCACATTGATTTCACATCAGAAGCTGGCTTCAAGTGGTGGTACGAAGGCGTCAAGAAGCTGCGGAAACAAGGCATTGAGGGTATCTGGAATGACAACAATGAGTATACAATCACTGACGACAATTGGGAGTGTGGCCTCGATAATCAATTGCTCCAAGTTCCGCAAACTCATGAAAAGTCTCGGCAGGTTGGCGTCTGGGGACGCAGCCTCCACACGGAACTTCATGGAAGAGCATCTCATGATGCGTTGCTAGACGCGTCGCCGAACGAGCGTCCATTCGTCTTGACACGTAGCGCAACCGCGGGCACAATGCGGTACGCATGTAGCACCTGGAGCGGTGACAACGTTACAAGCTGGGCTGGGATGAAGGGCGCCAATGCCCTCTCTCTCACAGCGGGCATGTGTCTCATGCAGTGCTATGGTCACGACATTGGCGGATTCGAAGGGCCGCAGCCCAGTCCGGAACTGCTCGTCCGCTGGGTCCAACAAGGCATTTACTCGCCTCGATTTGCCATCAACTGCTTCAAGACGGGCAGTGACAACAACGTAGGAGAAGTCATCGAACCCTGGATGTACCCGTCCGTTACCCCTCTGATACGTAAAGCTATAAAGAGGCGATACGCTATGATTCCGTATCTTTACTCGTTGATGCTGGAAGGGCATTTAGAATCCACGCCCCCACAACGATGGACAGGTTGGGGATACGAGTCAGATTCTGAAGTCTGGACTCCTGAGATCATGGACGGGGAATCACAGTACTGGCTTGGAGAATCCCTTCTCATTGGAGGAGTTTTCCAGCCTGGCGCTCGAGAAGGCCGTGTTTACTTGCCCAAAGCCTCAGAGGATGACGAGGGATACATTAACTTGAATGCGCCCTATCAATATCTAGCTGGTGGGCAATGGGCAACTCTCGATGCAGAATGGCATGGTTCAGGAATACCAGTGCTTGGCAGGGTTGGAAAGGGCCTTCCGATTGGGAAGGACGCCCAGGTACTCTCAGCCGGCGAGGTCCAGAATGTTGCAAGCCTCCCATTGGATGACTACCGAGGAATTGAGATTTTCCCCCCTCAAGGTAGTTCCAATGGCAAGTGGTTCGATACTACATGGCATGAAGACGACGGTGTCTCAATTGTCGAAAAGAATAAGATATCTACGTTTACAATAACCTACAGCACAACAGAGGAGGATATTAAGGTCAAGTTCTTCAGACAAGAGGAGTCTGGCTTTATTGCACCGTGGGCCGATCTTGACATCATTCTTCCCGTGGGAGATCAGAGGCAAGTTATTGCGGCTGATAATCGCAAGATGGAGCAGCCTATCTTAGATGAAAAGGGCAGAAGACACTTCCAACTACATTAGTCATTATTTCTAATTAAAGTTACTATTGTACTTTGTCTGAACATGGGTTAAAGATTTTGAGTAGTGAATTAAATCCCCTGTCTAAATTTTACTTTTTTATCGTTAGCGCGATAACACTTCCAAGCCAAATTAAATATTAATAGCGGTTGAACTGTGAGCTGACTACGAGATAACAAGTCCCTGATCCTCAGGTAATCAATTACTACCCAGCTTCAAGCCCAATACACGAATGTGGAGCCAACGGAGTGTGTTGCTGACGATTCACAGTTTTCTAACTTGCGAATCTATGACCAAGTTGAGCCGGTATCTACCTATGGTCAACGTGTATCTACAACCGACAGGGTTATGGCTGCAGCGGGTACGGAGTAGCTGTGGTTACCTTATCCTCTATTAGCTTTCTTCCAGCACAATCTTAGTAATACCTACAAGCATAACTCCTAGTACCTATGTACCAGCGAATTAGTAGTCGCGGAATAAAGTTGTTCCAGGTAGCCGAGCACTCCTAGATGAACCTACCCTATACACACTATTAACATCTATCTTCAAGTTAGGTGCTCCTCTATAAACATTATAAAAGCCCACTACTTTAAGGAATCTTTTGCAATTTATTCATCTATTATCACAAATGCGCTTATTGCAACTTTGCACGATTCAATCCCCCTCAGATTGGGTGCTATGATGTGGAGTACATCTTCAGCATCCGACTTGATATCAACAGTAGTTCCTTTATCCAGGGACATCTTAAGACATCTTAGGTCCACTACTCGGTTCTTTAAACTCACTCTTTCCAAGCAAAAGGGAAGAGTCAGGTGGCAACGCGCTGCAGCTGGTCGCTTTGACAAAAGCACCTCGGAGCTTGATGGTCTCTGCTCGCTACGGGGTCTTTCTTTTGTTGTTCTTGAGGGTGAGAGTGGGGACCTCCACCCAGATACCACATACGCGTGCACGCGCGAAATCCCAGTCACTATGTGGGGTTCTGCTAAAACGGCACTAATTTAAGTTGGATTGGTCGAGTCGCGCGCTCGGCAAGTCCACCGGACTTTGCGTCGAAATCTGTGCCTGGGGAAAGGTCGGGTAAAGCTTTTATTAGCATACCTACCTACCTAGGGTACCGACGCAAAGTCCGAGCCTCCGTGCGCACATTGCGGATGCCCAAGGCCATGTACGATACAGTGTCCACTCTTTCACCGATTTCTCCTCGACGGGACTTGGACTCGGGGTGTCACATGGCATCTTCGCAACGAGTAAGTCACCTTTATGGCAGCTATCCTACATGTATTGAGCCACCATTCTCATCATGGGACTAAGTGCGCCGCAAGTTAGAGACCCAATCATGAGCCGTGAAGCCGATTCCGTAGTCGGGTACCAATTACAACGTATGCCACGCCGGCAGCCCCCCAAACGCTTCTGTGCCGAGATACATCCGGGGAGGGATACGGCCCGGTATCAGATCAGGTAGCCATAGTATCAGGATCGAATCTTGATTTCTTTTAAACGGAATGGTCTTCATCGGTTGACTCTTAATACTAAGAAAAAACGTTTCCATCATTCAGTCTTATGGTTCCTACCTACTACATCCCTAATTTTTTTTCAGCAAGTCGTTACAAACTTACATCCGTCCATTTTCAGTGTCTACTGAACAGAGGAAAGCGACTTCTGTCTAAGTCTTAAAACTTCTTATTTTTATAACAATGACTTCTACCTCGTCCAAGGTTGTCATTATTGGAGCTGGTATTGTTGGAGTCAATGTAGCCGATGAACTGGTCTCGAGAGGATGGAATGACATTACAGTCATTGAACAAGGACCTCTGAACATGCCTGGAGGCTCAACCTCCCATGCCCCTGGCCTGGTTTTCCAGGTTAATAGTTCCAAGACCCTGACCTCATTTGCGACATACACTGTCAGCAAGTTGCTGTCGCTTGATTGTTTTAACCAGGTTGGTGGCCTCGAGATTGCTACGACACTTGAGAGACTTGAAGATTTGAAGAGAAAGCACGGATGGGCCTCATCGTTGGGCATCGAAACCAGAATTTTAGGCCCAGAGGAGTGTCGAATAAAATATCCCCTTTTAAAAGAGGATGGGATTCTCGGTGGTCTTCATATCCCCTCTGATGGCCTGGCTCTTGCTGCACATTCGGTTCAATTGCTCATGGAGCGGACACGCAGGGCCGGAGTTCGCTATTTCGGCCAAACATTGGTCACAGGAATCCAGCAGGCCAATGGTCGTACCACTGGGGTTATGACCAAGGGTGGTTTAGTATTTCCTGCTGATATTGTTGTCTCTGCCGCTGGTTTCTGGGGTGCAAAAATTGGTGCTATGGTAGGCCTTCCCGTGCCTCTGCTGCCAATGGCACATCAATACGTCAAGACTACACCCGTAGCAGCACAGGCCGGTAAGAATTCCCTGCCCAACGGAGCTCAGCTACCAATCCTGCGTTACCAGGATAAAGACCTCTACTATCGTGAGCTCGGTGACTGCTTTGGCATCGGCTACTACGGCCATGATCCTAAGCCTGTTGATGTTTCTACTCTTGGGGAAACTCCTCCGGTTGTCACGCAGCAACGTATGCCTTCACGTCTATCGTTTAGTGCCACAGAGTTCGAACCTGCATGGGAACTGACCACGGATCTCTTGCCTGCTCTGAAAAATAGCTATATTGCCGATGGCTTTGATGGCGTTCTTTCTTTTACACCTGATGGCAGCCCTCTTATAGGCCAAGCCCCCCACATAGATGGGTTTTGGGTTGCTGAAGCCGTATGGGTCACGCATTCAGCTGGAGTTGCTCGCGCCTTGGCCGAGATTCTTACAAATGGTCGATCAGAGCTGGATCTTTCCTCTTGCGATATTGCAAGGTTCGAAGAAGCACAGCTTAGCGAATGCTATATCAAAAACACAGCTTCTCAAGACTTCGTCCAAGTTTACGACATTGTTCATCCGTTTCGGCCGCGCGAGTCTCCACGAGGACTACGTTGTAGTCCGTTCCATGAGAGGCAAAAGGACCTTGGCGCGGTTTTCCTAGAGACCGGTGGCTGGGAGCGTCCCGAGTGGTTCGAGGCCAACAAAGAACTCGTGGCACAATTGCCCTCGAGTTGGGCACCTAGAGACCGCGACACCTGGTCTTCTCGGCACTATTCCCCAGTCGTGGCCGCCGAGGCTTACAAAACGCGCACGTCCGCAGGCTTGTATGACTTGACTTCTTCACGACGAATTGAAGTCGCTGGCCCCGGTGCGGCCGAATTCCTAGAACGTCTGACTACAAATGCCGTGTCTGATCTTGGAAAAGTTGTCCACACATTGCTACTTGATGCCATGGGCGGTATTCGAAGCGACCTTACTCTTTCAAGGTTGCACGAGGATTATTTTCAGGTCGGCGCTAACAGCCCTATCGACCTCGCCTATTTCACCAGAGAGGCACGTGAACAGAGTAAACTTTCACCTAGAAAGTTCGTTTCTATTAAAGATATCACCGGAGGAACCTGTGCACTCGGCCTTTGGGGCCCGAGTGCCCTCGATATAATAACTTCAGTCACTGATGATGACCTATCTAATCAGGCCTTACCCCCGAATGGGATTAAGAAAATTTTCATTGCTGGTATCGCAGTCCTTGCCATCAACATCTCTTGGGTCGGTGAGCGGGGATGGGAGCTACACACAAGTGCTGAATTCGGTCGGCATGTTTGGGATTCTCTTTGGAAAGCTGGCCAGACTTATGACTTGGTCGCTGCTGGCCGCGCTGCCTTCTACTCTCTACGTCTTGAGAAGGGCGTACGTCTCTGGGGCATTGATTTCACTACAGAGAAAGATCCTTTTGAGGCTGGCCTAGAGCACCTTGTTCAGCCTGGTAAAGTTGAATTCGTTGGTCATTCTGCGATTCAAGGTCGTTCTAGGACCAGTGCTTCTAGTAGATTGCGTTCATTGACTGTGGATGATGGGAAGTCTATGATTCTGGGCAACGAACCTGTCTATGTCGACGGTAGGGTCGTTGGGTATATTACTACAGCAGCCTTTGGTTTCTCTATAGGCAGACCTGTAGCTCTGGCCTATCTTCCCAGCGCTATGAAAGAGGGCGATGCCGTGGACGTTGAATATTTTGGTCGGAGCGTGAAAGCGACCGTCACTTCCGATCCTGTCTTCGATCCAGAGAACAGCAGACTTCAAACTCTCCAGCGTCAGGCGAAGCTATAAAATTCGAGCTTCTCCGTTCATATAGGAATACTCTGTTCATACAAACCATTACATATCTTTTTGAGTGAGAACCAAGATATATATATATCATGTATCCAATCGTTTATTTTGAAATTCTTATACCAACGAATATATTAGAATATATGAGGTTTAATTGTCTAATATATTAATATTTGCCTCAAGCTGAATTTATATTGACCCTAACGTTGAATTGTGAGTGGTGTTATCTTAATTTTCTGTCACTTCAGATGGCCTTACGCACTTCCTCAACACTTAGCAATGGGGAACCTTATAATAACAGTAAAGTTCAATACCTATTCAAAACCCATCTACCAGTATAAATGGAGTGATTATATGATGAAAGAGACAACCAATGTTTCACTTAGTAACAGCTAAAAAATTGCCATGAGAGGCGTTGGATAGAGGGATATATAACAGTGATGCCGGGCACAAAGCATTCAACAGCACGCAAGCGTCGGATTACATCGTAATAGAGGCTTGAATAGACACTAAGAGAGAGTGCTAATCGATTTGTTCTTGAAGAGAAGTGGTTTAGAAGATATAACCCTCTCTTGTTTATGGATTCAGTCGGTAGTAGGAGGGCCGCTATAGTTTTTATGTCCCCAAACCCAGTACCACAAACCAGAGATAACACCAGCAGCCACAAAGACAACAGAGGCGTAATTGACAGTGTTAGCCTTTACTGGAATCACAGAAGGCATGCAGAATAGTGGAAGGGCAAGCAGAGACCAAGCTAAAGATAGTGATTAGTTTTGAACTCCGTATAACTCTTTTCCATGCGCTTGGAAACTCACCGATAGCAATAACATTAGCCACATAACCAAGCCTGCCAAGGGGGAACTTCGCGTCCTTCATTTGTTTCCTGCCAGTGAAAAGATTGATTGCGATTGGCATAGCATATGAGGCTGTAAGGCAGATGACTCCCACGCCGGAGAAGGCGTTGAATGCGGCAGAAGACCCGAAGTTAATAAGGCCTAGGATGAGCTGTACCGTCATAGATAGAACAGTCGCATTCAGTGGAACTCCCAAATTTCTATCCACAGTCTTCCACCAATTGGATCCTGGGATCGCACCATCACGAGCGAATGCCCAGGTGCATCGTGAGGCAGCAGTCGTACATCCAATGCCACATAGGAGAGCAAGAATCATTAATGGGAGCAGCAACCCAATGGCCGCAGCAGACGATCCCACAGCACTGAGGAAGATAGCCGGTACAGGCTGCACGGAATCTATGTTGATAAGATATTGGATATCTGGGAGGACGTAAACGATGGGGACAAGAAAGAGAAGTCCCGCTATGAAGTTGATGAAGATCGTAGTGACCATCGCGATGGGAACTTGGACTGAGGGATTTTGTACCTCTTCACACATCCTTTGAATGAGAGGTCAGATTTATACACCTCTGGAGTATTATATAGGCAGCATACATCAAAAGGAAGGGCTAGAACATACGACATAATCATCCCCGTGGAAGATGTAGCATAGCCAGCGTGGAGAAGTCCAACAAAAAAGGACCAACCATCAGGCCAACCAGAGGAAGATTCAAAGTGAGTGAAAACATAGGATGTATCATGGCGGCCATTCTTAGCAATGGCTAGAATTGTACATGTAATAGCAATCAAGCTAGCAAAAGTCCAAAATATAGCGGCGGTCTAATAAAGAATATCAGTTAAAGAGGATATAAAATCCATCTCATGTGAATGACCTTACATCAAGAATAGGAAGCCATTTGTTACCAAAGGCGGATACAATATTGCAAAGGATTGTCACGCCCAGAAAGACAAGATAGACCTGCCAATCGGTAGCGGGAAAGATGCCTATACCCGGCTCGGACTCGAATACGTTGATGCACGAAATGAAGAACAAGGTTGTGCCAAAGTTGACGGATAGGGTAATAGTGATGTTTCCCACAACATACAGCCATCCACAGATCCAGCTTGCTAACCGGCGGTAATGGCTTGGTGCGAGCACGAAGGTCTGGTAACATACGCCTGGTAATTGAATTAGCCGTACTGTCATTTAGCAACAGATGTCAAGAAACAGAAGTAGGAAGGCACACCGCCAGAAGTTGGGTAAACACTGGTGATCTCGCCAAGAGAAGCCGCAACGAATACAACAATAGCGGAAACCATGACCCATCCCCAAATGATATTGACCGGCCCCCCACCGACTAGTGGGTAGTAGAGCGTTGTGGCTAGACCATAAGGAATGGAAGCCAGTACAAATGACATAAAAGCGACCTGAAGAGCCGATCGGTTGCGCATCAATTGGGGAGTGTAGCCTAGAGTTTCAAGAACATTATCTGCAGACGCATGGTTAGATGCTTCTTCAACCCTATGCTCTTCTGCCTTGCTACTGGCTGTACTGAGGCTCTCCATAATCTTGGCCATATAGTTGATAGAATGTGAATTATCTGAGATGAAAAGTCGAGTGGAATAAATTGAACGGGGAACTTTGAAGGATATCAAGAGCAAAGCTAAATCTGGAGCATACGCCGTCTGCCATTTAAGGGGGAATGATATGGCTGTGATAACTTATTGTACCCTGTGCTGAACCCAACTTAATCTACCCCAGGATCGGTCTGGGCACCCTGGGGTCAATTCGTGGAGAAGCGGAGAAGTGGAGAAGTTAACTATGAACGTTGGGCGCCTCAGACACTGCCGCGTACTCCGGGTTAGTGATTGAGCTGGCTGGGACTTGTACCAAGGCTAGTCCGAAGAGTGTCACTGTACTAACACATCATTATCCATTTATGGCGTCCACCGAGACCACCTGTAGTACGAAAGCTAACGTCACTTAGAAGAACGGTGGCGTGAAATGGAGGGTACGGAAATAACTCCTGCGGACTGTCCGGATTCCTCCTTCTCCAGATAGCACCCCCCTCCCTGCTAGGATGTCAGCTTACCATCCTCTTCACACAAGGTTAAGGCCTCTATTTCTAGGCCGATGACTGTCTTCTCATCAGGCAACACTCCGTATTTGGCATTGTACTTGAAATAAATAACTCTGAAAGCATCTTCTGACCGCTCTAGCTCCACCAACCTTTCCTGTACCATCATTCTACATTTTATCAAACATTTGAATATTTCGTAGGTAACCGAACTAACCTTTGGATATACTGTGACAGAGTATTCTTGATCATTGTGTGGGGGGGCTAGATACGGCGTAAGTAATATGTAGCAGGATATTCTTTTCCTTGATCAAAGGCATCAGCATCAAATAGGTGTGTATATATGAACAAAACTCCCGAAACTTGCCCTTTCTTAGTACTAATATGGAAAAGGATACACATGGAGTATCTCATGCTTAGAGGCTCAACGACAATGCGTTCATTTCGTGACGTTATCCGCACCTATACTATGCTATTAATGGAATGAATATTTACCATTCGTATCCTTTATCTAAGTTGAGATACCGTGTCCGGTATTTTCTATTGCTGTGTCTTACTTTATACTCAAACTCTCATCAGAGGGATATTTTATACAAATAATAAATCAAGCGAGTATACCAACTATAAACAAGTAAGTCATATATGCATACTTTTTAGAGCGTATAATAATAATAATAGCTGATTGCTATATAAGACGCTTACACATGGATTGCTAGAATTGAAGTTAAGTTTTACTGCACTAAAACACATATATATCAGTTACTAAAAGCATCGATTGCAATTACTACAAGAGAGGAGTTTTCAAAGACAAAAGGTTTTAAAAAGCCTTGTAGTTATTGGAATAAGAGCCAAGTACTAATAGAAGTAGTTGTGGCATAAGTTAGCTGTACTTCGGGTTGAAGTCTACTACGGACAAAGGGTAATTAGAGCTTCTGGCCCTCAAGGCCACGCCAGCCCCAGGCCTGAGCCACTAGCTCTGCACATCTCTCGCCAACCCCTAAGACGGTAACCATGGGGTTAATGGTAGGAATCTCAGGGAAGACGCTGGCATCGGCGACACGAATGCTACCAATGCCCTTCAGCCTAAGATCCGGACCAACGACAGCGAGTTCGTCTCTCTCCGTGTTGCCCATACGAAGAGTTCCACAAGGGTGGTAGACAGTACTTGCCACACGACGGCCATACTCGGAAAGGTCTTCGTCTGATTGAACCTTGGGACCAGGTGCCACCTCCCGTTTGATCCAAGACTTGAATGGTTCTTGTTTTGCGACCTCGCGGCTAACCTTCAAAGACTCAACAATGGTGGCCTCATCATAGCCATCGGGGTCAGTGAAGTAGCGGAAATCGAGTGCAGGCTTAACCGACGGCTCTGCTGATGTCAAGTATACACGGCCCCGGGACCTTGATCGAGGCACGTTAGGAATCATACAAAAGGCGTCGGTGGGCTTGTCGTAGCCGAGTCTAAGAGAACCTGTGTAAGTTTGAACCCTTCGAGTTGGTGCCAGGAGCAGGTAGAAAATGAAGTCACTTACCGTTCGGTGTGTAGGCAGAAAGGAATCTGATAACAGTGGAACATCATGTCCACGACTTCTTTATCATCTCCTGCAGCATTATAAGGCTCGCGACGGAGGAAGACGGCGGCATCAGACGACATAACCGTTTCCTCGGGTGCCGGACGATTCAACTCCCATATTATAATTGTTTCCGGATGATCCATCAAATTCTCTCCAACGCCAGGCAAATGAGAGATCACAGGGATGCCAAGATCGGTAAGCTGCTGGCGCGGCCCAAGGCCAGAATGAAGGAGAAGACGAGGCGAATCAATAGCCCCGGCACACAAAATTGTCTCGGCCCGGGCAAAGAGTCGTTGCTTCTCCCCATTCTGAAGGGTCACATTGACCCCATTCGCACGCCCATGCTCCACATTGACTTTGCTCACCCATGCATTGGTTAGAATGGTGAGATTGGGGCGATTCTCGGAACCTTGGAGGATGGGATGGATATATGCAACCGAGGCAGAACTACGCCGCCCGTCCGAGGGATTGTAAGCCACAGAAAGAAAACCAGCGCTAGGGCTCAGGTTTCCATCTCGAACAATTTCTTTGTTGAAGTCCGGAACAATAGGAATATTGAATGCCTTGGATGAAGCTTCGAGCCAATCTTTGTTAATCTGGTTCTGATGGTGGTGAGATACTGGCTGGATAGTATTCCTAAGATTGTCCTGGCTACTATTAGATGACGCTCAATGCTGTGCAAGGACCGCTTCTTACCAAAACACGCGTGAAAGTCTTGAAGTCCCAGCCAATAGCTCCTCTAGCAACCCATCGGTCGCAATCATACTCAAAGGGGCGGAACGAGATCAAGGTGTTATGCGAAGAACAGCCACCGAGAACTTTGGCTCGCGAATGCCGAATATGAGAGTTGCCGCGTGGTTGCTCGGTGGTACCATAGTCATAGTCCATGTCTCCACCAAGCATCTTGAGCCAGTCCTTGAGGAGCAAAACTCGATCATCTTCGTAGTCAGACGGGCCGCCTTCAATGAGGAGGACTTTCTTGTTGGGGAGATACTCAGTCAGCCTGCTAGCAACAACGCAGCCCGCCGTTCCTCCCCCAACAATGATAAAATCAAAATCGTTGGTTCTGAGTTCGTTTGTTGTCATCTCGTCGGGTTTAGAAGAACGAAACTTTGATGGGATAAGAAGTAATGCAATTGTTGACTTAGCAATACATGGAGTGTAATTGAACGGAAAAGCCGATTATTTGAAGTAGAAAAGGACTTAATGCACTTAGGCATGGGATGAGGCGACTCTGGCCAGATCGTCCAAGGTCCCTCTGTCGACAAGGGAAGTTTGCTATTTGCTGTTCGGAAACTCCAGTGTAGTATGGTACATGACTTGTATCTAGTATTTGTCATTTGCTATCAACAACCCACCCCGCGATACGAAAGAAACCGGTTCGAGCTAGTGCAATCCGGGGTTTGTATCATGTGGGGGTGGGGAAGGGAGTTAGTTCGGACTCGCAAAGTCCGAACGGAAAGTGCGCAATTCCGGACATTATTTCCAATACTGCAAAAGCTCGCTGGCCAGTACTTTCGGAGAATGCGATGATGAACACTCTATCCGGACTTTCTAAAAGTGCGTAAATTAGAGTTTCGAGTTGACGGTCAGCTAACTAAGATCGACAGAGCACCAGAGTCCGGATGGTTTGATGGACTATCATAGGGAGGTAGTAACACATTAAAACAATTGGAACGCCGTAGCAACCTTTTCAGCGCCGCTCAGCCTCGCAGTTTGCGAGACTGAAATACCGCTGTCCAATGGGGATACTTTTGACGTAAAATTGTCAACAATCGGGGCATTTTGCAAATAGTGGAACGCGAGAGATTTGCACCAATTCAGACATTGCTCGTAGTCTACTGGTTAACGTGGCGTGACACGCGACTGAGACCCTCTGGTATATATCAGTTGCTAGCATAATCTGAGATGAGGATAAAATCTCACACTATATTGAACTCAACACACTCATATCAGTCGGGCGCTTCATTGAATTTCAAAACTATATCATCTGCCCGCTTATTGGAACGAGTACCTTCCATCATGACTGCATCCAGGCATGAGGATCACCTTGATTTTGGGGGGAACTTCGTCCAGATAATAAATGGCAAGCCTGCTTTTACCAAAACCACTCGACATGGGATCAACCCAGCCACTCTTGAGCGAATGGAAGAAGTCCCTGTCGCCACGCGAGACGATCTCCATGAAGCAGTAGCGGCGGCTAGAGCAGCCTTCAAGCAATGGTCCCAGACACCTTATCGGGACCGGAAACAAGCGGTTCTTGCCTGGGCAGATACAATAGAATCCTACAGCACTGAGTTCCGGGATCTCTTAATCGCAGAGCAAGGCAAACCAGTGGGTGCTAACATAGACCAGGAAAGTCTCCAGGCTAATACTTCACCAGTTGCCGCAAGCTGAAATCGAGACAGCCTCCACTGTGGCATGGATGAGGGGTATGGCTGGAATTGAACTCAAGGATGAAGTCATTGAAGACAGCCACGCCCGGAAGATCATAACACGCCACACTCCGCTTGGGGTAGTTGCGGCCATTGTGCCTTGGAATTTCCCTCTGATGTTGACAACAGCTAAAGTCGCGCCTGCATTACTGACCGGCAATGTAATCATTGTGAAGCCGTCGTAAGTTTAGCTCCTGTCCTGTGACTCTGCTGTCTATTAACACTCCCAACTGGCCTTTCACCCCATATGGCTGCCTCAAGCTAGTGGAATTGGCACAGCTATTTTTCCCTCCAGGCGTAGTACAATCGCTCAGTGGGAATGACGATCTCGGCCCATGGATCACCAGCCACTCCGGAATTGATAAGATTAGTTTCACTGGCTCAACAGCCACAGGAAAGCTGGTGATGAGGAGTGCAAGCGAATCCTTGAAACGGGTGACTCTCGAACTGTAAGCTATTATAGGTATTTCTCTGTGTTGCAAGCTAACTTTATTCTTTCTTTCAGTGGTGGAAATGACCCTGCCATTGTTTTTCCCGATGTGGATATTGAGGAAACAGCCAAGCAGGTAGGAATTTCCACGACAAGGACAATCATTTGTATTACTAAAAGATAATTAGGTCGCTACTTTCGCCTTCCTTAATTCTGGACAGGTGAGTAGATAAAAGTCTTTCTGCTACAGTGAGAGGTCTGACCAGTAATAGGTGTGCCTGAACCTGAAGCGGATCTACGTCCATAACTCGATTTATACTCAATTTCGAGATGCAGTGGTCAGCGCTGTTAAGGCCTTCGTGATAGGTAATGGGTCAAAAGAGGGAGTCTCTCACGGTCCACTGCAAAACTCTTTACAATACTCCCGGGTAAAAACATTTTTTGATGATATTGAAACTCAGGGATGGAAGGTAGCGGTTGGTGGCAAGATGGATGCTAAGGCAACCAAAGGGTATTATGTTGTGCCTACAGTGATCGATAACCCCCCTGAAGACTCGCGCATTGTCGTCGAAGAGCCTTTTGGTAAGAGGACTGAACTTGTTTTACTATATAATGGTAACTAATTTAGGTCTTGTTTTAGGACCTATCGTGCCTCTTTTGTCTTGGGAGACAGAAGATGAGGTAATCGAGAGAGCTAATAACACTACCATGGGGCTTGGTGCTTCTGTCTGGTCAGCAAATACAGCTCAAGCTGAGAAGGTGGCACGGCGACTGGAAGCTGGAACAGTTTGGATAAACAATCATTTTGACATCTCGCCGGTAGCGCCGTTTGGGGGTCACAAAGAGAGCGGTATCGGCATTGAGTGGGGTTCCAACGGACTGAAGGAGTTTTGTAACGTCCAAACACTGTTCTCCTACAAGTAGATAAATCCTTAACGGTTATTCTGAATACAGTTGCATTGCATTTTCAACCTCTTGAACAACAACTCTCATGGCTCTCTCCAGAGGCTTAAAGTTTGCCTCGTTCCTTGATACTGCCCCCACGCACTTGGTTATCCGTTGCAAAAGTTCAAGATCCGTTGAACGCTCACTATCTGTTGGTGATACCGTAACAGTCTTGGCCAAATGAGAGAACGCAACATGAACACGGAAGATTCCAATCGCCATTGATAATGCTTCAAATCCGGGGAGCTCCACGTCATGTAGCATATGAAACAGTACAACCAAGACTTGTCGTGCAGCTCTTGAGGCCACTGGCATACAAGGAATATCGCAGGACGACGATTCGTCTGATTCGGCACCGCGAGTTGCAGCTTTGCTAAGCATGAATAAGATGGACGTGTAGCCACCCAAGGCAAGGTGGACCAGAATCCATGTATAAACGTGATCGTGCGTGTAGCTCTTGAGCCATTCGTTCTGGGTAAGGCCATCAGCTCAAGTTCCGTAATGCTATTTTGTTGTGACCTAACGATACTCACTAGTCTCCACTCCACGAAAAGTTCTTCGATCTCTAGGCATAAACGTTCAACTGTCTCAATGACCCTTGGACTACTTTGGGATCCCTCTATATTTTGCGAAAATGACATGAGAATAAAGGTAAGCCGGCTCCTAACAAGAAAGGCCAATGTTGGTACGTGGTCTGTTTGGTCTGGTTGTGAATCGAGAGAGAGCCATGGTAGGCGAACTTTCCACGATGCAATACTCGAAGTGAAAGCGAGAGGCCTATTGTAGATGAGTCGGAAGAACAAATCCATCTGCATTAGTTCCCACATCCCCTTGCGATCGTCGTCTGTCATGACGAAGTCTGCTTGATGACAGCCACCGTCGATATTGTGCATTTGAAGCCCTTCTGCGTACTCGCAGCCTAGCCGATGCATCTCAAGGCTGGTCTCAAAGTCGAAGCTCTCGGCAGCTGTTCTCATCTGCGGATTTTACCAAGTTATTAATCAGAAGCAATTCCGCTAAAAGGCGCTCATTTTATACCATAAACATTGCAGCCACCAGGTCAGTTACTGACCCAGTCGCCTCCTTATTCCACAGCGGTATTATTCTGAGACAACATATATACAATTGACTCGCATACTTCCGGTCCGGTCCGGTGAATGATCTCTTCCCTGGCAAGAAGCATCCTTGCCATAGGATAGCGTAGTATATTAGAAGCATAACTGCATCGAAGTTGATATGTTTCATCGTCAGTAAGTCGGGCATTAGCATGATGAGTCTCTTGTCGAGTAGCGTCAGAAATAGCTCTGGCGACATAAAGTTGATGTAATCTGGTCGCAGTACCATTAACCTTCCATGGAGGCATCTCACGCTTGTGCCAAGGCTGACTTACTATGAATCCATGATCTGGCTAATTCTGGGGGGATACTAAAACCCTCCGTCGCTATTAAGCCTTGACTTGTCAGCTGGCTGAGCCTAGTTTTCTGGATCTGTTGAACAGCTTCAGTCAGATCTAGGGACTTAAGTCTTGTATCGCTCGTTGAACCAAGTCCAGGTGCGGGCATTGTTGATTCTGGCAATCCTGATGATGCTATAGAGCCGTAGTCAGCAGCAAGGCTAAATCTTGTCCTTGGTGATTCTTGAACGGGAGAATCCCCACAGCTGTTCGGATGAGAACTATGAAGACTCTGTTCAGATATGCGAGATGATTGCGCGTCGGCTACATCCTCAGTTGGTTCTCGATTATGTCTGGCCAGAGGTATGGAAGCGTCACTCTCTATGAGCTGACTCTCTATGTGCTCAAGCCTCTCGAGGATTGTTATCAATATGTTATTATCAGGTCTAAAAAATAATTAGCCATAGGCACATCGTTACACACATGGATGACACTACATTGGATCGCCTTGTCTTCTTCTCTCGGCCCTGGACTTTCTGGAGGGGTATTGGCAGCGCAGTCCATTTCTGTGGCAGTATTCGCAAATTGGAAGGTCCCGACTACATCGAATCTGCAATGGGTCAAATCTCAGAATCTTCTAGAAAGGCAATAGGAAGAGTAAAGTCGAAGGATCACATAGCGAACCGCTATCCCCGCACCTTTCTTTGTCGGCAATTTGTGCACTACCTTTTATGTTATCAACAAGCTCGTATTGTTAAAACTTGACAAGGCTTTCCAGAGTAATATCTTTGAAATATTACATGCCATTTTATTTTAGGAAATTGCAGGGACAACGCCATGTGCGCTAGGAGTACTTACAGACAAGCCGTTGAGCACAAGAACACTTGTTCCACTCATCTTAACTTGCTTGGAGTTTCAATGTCGTCGCTGTTGATAACGCTTTACAATGCTGATTGTGATGAGACCCTCGGAATTCTTCTTACGGATTTATCGCAGGGAGAGCATGCCTAAGTAGGTAGATTGTACGAATTGATCGGGTTGAGTAAAGGATGACGTTGAGAAAATAGCAGATTGTCCCGGCAGTGAGAGAGTACACTAGTAATGGGCGGGGATCTGGGGCTAGTAAGGTTCCGTATAAACTAGCCGAGTTCACGTGATCGGCTATCAACTGGCCATGATTTATGTATGTACTTACCATCACGGGGATCTACATACTAAGCCCAACTTTATACAACATATGACTCTGTGGTTAATAAATCATATAGTATCTAGCACTGTCTAATATCAATTTTGTAATAAAAAAAAAATGTACAGTCACCACTATTTCTTCGCATTAAGTAAACAGAGAGATCTGTTAGTCAGACAGGAGCGCCGCTTGAGTTCCGTCTTTAGCCGCCGTAGATATACCGAGTTGAACCAGAGAGAGAGTTTGTTCATCTTGCCATGAACATCCGTAAATTGATAAGCATCGTAGTTTTCAATGATATTAGGAGACTGAGTCGTAATAGTTGTGTACGATAACTCTCAGCTGGAGTATAGGCAAACCGTGCCATAGTCAGCGCGTGTTAACTCGGTGTCGGAAATCAGAAATAAGGCAAGGTACAATGAGTGTAGGCGGGAGAGTGAGAGAAGGGATCGGCCAGGCTGTCTTATTATTAACGCGCATGAATAGGTTCTAATACACGATATTAAAGTACACAGGCATGTTTTTTTATGTTCCTTTAATGGTAGGTTTACCCTGAATGTGGAAACCTCAACAGCCGTTTTAATCTCAAGATCTGTGCTGAAATCCAGAGTCTCTGGCTGCGCTTCGAAAGCATAGAGGCTGCCTGGCCATCGTCTTGAGCCAGCATAATAACTGTGGACAAGACACGGTAGATGACCATGGCACCTGAGGAAGCAATTTGACGTTCATGCCGGAGTATTGACTCAGGGAAAGACTTGTGTGTCGCATGTGTTGAAGATGGCATCCAAATCTGCGGAAACGTAATCCAGACCCCATCGATGGGCCTTGTTGGTTCCATCATATCCCCAACATGGTATGGAACGCTTGCACAGATCTCGGTCATAATGTTCTCTACTCGTAATACTATGTTGGGTGTAGGGAGAGAGCCAATTCCTGCCCAGTATTGGCACAGAAGTAGAATAACATGGAGCTCGATCAGGCGATGCCAGTTCCGCGTCGCTGCAATCGAGAAGTTGATGTACACATCACAGGATTCTTCATATACTCCTGCCGCTCGGATTGTCTTAGCAATCGCATCGCCATTCACCCTCACTGGGTGCCAATGGTCTGGGAGACTGTTAACCCACCGTGTGCAGTCCGCCGCGAGTGTAGCGGCCTGGGTTAGAAAAGAAAGGCCTGTTTCGTTTTCCGCTCCCCCAACAACTGCTGCTCTTGGTCTCTTCTCTGATCGCATTAAATTTGACAACTTATAGACCCGAAAGGCCAGCCTATCTACCTCGATTGCTGGGTTGGCCGGCATTCGCTCGCCAGGTTGTTGGAACAAGATGGGTAATGACGGAATATTTCGACGGTTCAATATCGCCTCAGATACCATTCTATTTCGCGCTGCAAGCATTATGCGCCGAGACATATCATCTCGAGAATTCAGCTCGCCCCTGTGTGTCAATAGCGCCATGGAGCCTGAGAGATGCATGCTTGCTCTTGGCCCGTGCTGATAATTCGCATTAATATCATCATAAACTTCCAAAATCAATGCAGCCATCAGTAGCTCATTGGACTTGTTTTTGGTTGGATCCTTGGTCGCCTCCTTTGTGCACGTCACAGCCTCGGCGTAGCGGCGACGTGCAGGCACTAGATTAAGATTTTGTTGACTCCAGAGCCCGGCGATTTTAATGGCAAGTGCACATGTAGCGAGCAACAGAGGAGACCGCTGGGTGCATTTAGCATACAGGTCCCGGGTGGTAGCCAATAGTGAGCATGTGCCATCTTTGCCTCCGTTGGAGCCATACGCTTGAAAAAAGAAGCTCAGCGAAAGAGATTCGGAGTCTAGCGGTGGTGATGGTACTATAGAGGAAGAAAGGATCGAAGACGATGTCGAATGTATTTGGTCTCTGAGTGAAGCCTTCGCAGAATCACTGCCTTCTGGCATAAGTGTGTTGGTGAAGCGAGAATGCCCCCCATGTCGTCCAACGACTTTGCGTGTTTCACTTCGGTGCCTTCTCTCAAAGGCATCCTTATACCCAGGACACTGAACCCTTAACTTTAGGCAATTGCCACAGCCTGGAGTATCCTCGTCACACTGTTAAATATTAGTACTACCTCCAATATCTTTGTCAACATGCCATGATAATTACCTTGACGCGACGTCTTCGACAGGTCGAGCAGCCGCTGCTGTGTCCTCTATACACCATGCCTCTTATGGTGGTATTTAGCTGCCTTGGTGTCAAAGGAAGAAATTCAATGACAGCTTCAACTTCTTGTCGCTCTGATGGCAACCGATATTTTCAATTCTTTCTATTATGTTAGAAGCCCTATTTTTAATTTAATCACTAGCACCGCCGTCGCAAGGATGCCCCTATTACGGTTTAGAGTGAGCTGGCCATAGTCTCAATGCAACATGATGGGCCCCTGAATCCTGGATCCAGGGGTTATTTGGGTTAGCACGCTGCTCGCAAGCCTATACCGCATGTCGTTTTCAGCATCACCTAACAATCAAGTCAGCTAACACTCGGGTTGCTGTTTCGCAAGGGTATACTGAGATCTGGGGATTCTTGCGAAATCTTTCAATCTTGATACTAGGCTGGAGGTCTATCTTATTCACGTATCACAACACCTGTTACTTGGGGGCTACTCCTCCTGAAGTATTATATACAAGAATAGCCTATTGCTACCAAGGTACCAGAGCGAGGACTATAAGAGACTCTGCATTCTCACTATTTTTGCTCAATGTCTAAACATATCCATCCAAATCAATCAAACCACTATATTTCCGATTTGACTTTTACTGAAGTCGAACTTCACTATGCGCTATTATTACCTCCTTAGTTTTGTAGCCGTGGCATATGGCGCGACTTGTGTTAGTTATCCGGCCATTGATGGGGATATCGTCCACGGTCAAGTTCTGCTGATCGACGATCCTCTCCGGAATTTCGACTCCATGATGATCCCAGTCTACAACGACTCGGCCATTGAAGACTGGTCTCATGATGCTGTTTCGGCAGATGGCTTGACTGGTCTGGCTTTCACCTCCAGCCGTGGGTCCATCGGAGGAATTCCTGGAGCGCTCCGTCTTTTCCTCTCCGTGGTGTGGCCGAATGGTACCCGCTACATGGAGAACGTTTTCACCGAAGAGTCAAACATCGAATCTTGCCCACACAAGACAATCGGACGCTGGTTCAACACTAGTGCTGACGTGGAATGGAAATTCGACTACACGGCTGACTTCAAGAATACACTGGTCACGATTAACTCTCCCACGGTTAGTGGCACCATCAAAATGAAGTCACTTGTTCCGGCTCTATACCCCAACGGGTTAGAGTTCCCCAACCCTAATGGCAATACTCTCTTTGCACCACTGCTATACTGGGTGGAGAGTGTTCCCGCTGGAACTGTTGAGGCCAATTTAACCATTCTTGATACACCCTTTACGCTGCAGGGATTTGGCGGCCGAGAGCGTAATTGGCTACCTTTATCCTGGGCAGACACGAGCGCCAGCTGGGATATGATGCGAGGCGTTGTTGGGCCCTACAGATACATCGGATGGGTACACCAATCCAAGTTCAATGGTACTCAGTACAGTATGGTTCTACTGGAGGGGAAAAAAGTCGTATTTCGCACACAAAGTCTTACGCCATCCAACAGAGAAACGTGGGGAACAATAACCAAAACGTACAACGGCACTGTCCATCTGGCTTCATCCCCAGACGACACCGTTAAGCTCCCGGAATCTACCTTTAGTGGCCTTACCATCGAAATGTTTTCCCCCTTGACGGGAAAGCATTGGAAATTTGACATCGCATTCACTCAGACTGTGTATTGGTTTCGAGCAGGCCGTATCGCTCTCATAGGCGGGTTCACTGCTAATGCCAAGGGCGGTCTCGTTGGTGGGTGCCAGTATTCAGGCCTGAGCTCTGGCAACATTCAGGAAACCATTACAGTATAATGCTTTGAGATTGGAAATAATCTACAGCAAGATCTCCCCAAGCACAACTCAATGAACTTGATTGCAATTGCACAATCGGTACATGCTGAGATGCGTGTCGATAGGAGTCCCCTAGAACTTGGTAGTTGTTAGGTAACACGATCTATATAGCAGTGGATAGTTCTTGAAAGATCTGTCCTAACTCTCTCTTATATCGAGGAATAAAAATCGCTATTTGAATGAAAATAAAATAATATAAATAGCTCCAGTACCCAAAGATAAATTAGTATTTTACCATCCTATATCCAGAGAGTAGTATGTCCTAATTTATCATATAACTAAGCAACCTCTGACTTGCCTAAGGTATTTAAAACAGAACGTCCACTGGCTATTATAATTGGGATAATCGTGTAAGCAATACCTTAAAAATGTAGAGTCATACTGCAACCGGGTCAAATTGACTCGCTAGGCTATATTTCCATGTACTAAAACCGAATAGCCCACTAGCCCGGATGCAAACTACTAAGTCCTAAGTATTGGATATTGGCGGAGGTTTTCGCAATAATTCACTATTGTATGCAAACGACTTTTTTACGCATCTCATTACCTCCGGCGAGTGCAATAACCCGTTCTGTTTTAGGAAAGGTTTCGGGTTCGGGCTCCTCGGACTAGTCCGAGACACATGTCGTAGGTAAATCTGGGATCCTGACAAAGCACAACAATAAAGATTACCAGGACCTCTAACTTAGTGCGCTTCGATATCGATTGTTAATCCTTACAGAGCTATAAATATACGCCCGAGTAATGAAACACATCTTTTCTTTAGTTAGACCGGAGACTGTCTATTCTAAACATGGATCCGCAAGTTATGAATAGGTCATAGACAGAGGTTAAATTTTATAGACCATATGAAAGAATTGAAGGGAGAACGAAGGTCTTTAAGACACGCTCTTGTTTCACGTTCAGATCAAGTAAAACTAGATCTCACGCCTGACAGGGCTTTTACTGTCTCAACATAGCTCCTTCAGATTGTGTTAACCTAGTATGAGACGAGTCGCGACCCATTGATAGTCCACATCAGATATGTCCCCAGATAGGTCTCGGCTGATAGAGTTCCTCGAGATACTGCTCCTCTTCGCTGTCCAGATATTTTCCATTACTTCCAATAGCCTCATCGAGTCTTTTTAAGCTGCTGCATCCGATTATAGGGCTTGTCACCCTCTTGTTAATCCAGGCAAGTGCAATATGGGCCATCGGCCATTCGTGTTTCTTTGCAAGCTCTTCCACCCGTCCAATAATCTTAACATCGACTTTGGAGGAACCATGTCCCCCACTCGTGAGGTCAGTCTCGGTTGTGGTACGCGTCGTAGAGCTAGACAGGGGCCGGGCGAGGTAGCCACGGCACAAAGGAGCCCAAGGAATAAGTCCAACACCTGTCTCATTACAGAAGCGAATCATCTCACGCTCTTCCTCCCGATAAAGCAAGTTGTACTGGTCTTGCATGCTAACAAACTTCGTCCAACCGTTTTGTTCTGCGCAAAACTGAAGCCTAGCAAACTGTGTTGCCCACATGCTACTGGCGCCAATGTAGCGGACCTTGCCTGATTGAACAAGGTCGTGCAGAGCTTTCAGAGTTTCCTCGATAGGTACCGAACTATCAAAGCGGTGAATTTGCAGTAGGTCAATGTATGTAGTGCCCAGTCGTTTCAATGACGCTTCGACCTGGTTGAAGATTGCTGTACGCGAGAGGCCAAATTGGTTTTGATAATCCTTACTTCTGTCAAACTCGGAGTAAAACTCAAATTGCTGCTCCTCTACTCTATGGTTAGAAAAACTCAGATTGACATCAGGATTGTTCATACCAGGGGTTTCGCCCACGGCAAAATTGCACTTGGTGAGAATCACCACCTTCTCACGAGGGATATTAAAGTGGTGCAAGGCTTTTCCAATAATACGCTCGGAAGCACCATTTGAATAAGAGTTGGCTGTATCCCAGGTGTTGAGCCCCCTTTCATAGGCTGCCTTGAGCAACGGCAGCGCCTATGAAAGAACCATCAGGAGTTGCAAACTGTGCGCCTACGGGGTCAGACGTACCTTATCTTCGTCAAGTGCCCATGGAATAGCCTGAGAGTCGCCAAACCCCATGCAGCCCAAGATGGGTACAGATACCCGAAGTCCAGATTTGCCAAGTTGGCGATACTCGACTTTCGTATCGTCTAAAGACTGTTGCAGCCGGCTGGGGAGCTGAAGACTGGCCATTGTAGCTATTCAGCGTTGGATGCCACGGATAACAAATACTGTACTAGGAGTTAGGGAGCTCTTGCAATGTATTGAAACATGATACTTATATATATTCTGCTAAGTACGAGTGACATACTTATACCGGGGTTAGGGTCACATAAGTACCCTAACTCCGTATTGAGCTCGGAGACTTTTCCATAAGAATTACACCGATCTAAGACGGCTACTCTACAAATAGATGGTCTATTGTAATGAATCGAAAAGTTGGCGGAGATTTCCGGATCACCTAATGGCTGCAGACATAGGTGCAACACCTGAGAGACCGAGTATAGTCGCAGCAGATGCTGAGATTAGAAAATGGTTTGAAATAGTTACAGATAGAGATAATTAAAAAGTTATAAAGATAATATAATCTTCTAGATACGCTTCAAGTTTTAACCTATTAAAGGCTAGGTAGTTTGGTTGCCTGGATTGCTATTAGGTATAGATACTTATGTATAAGCCAAGAGCTAACGGTATTTTTCCGCTCTCGATTTCGGTTATTATAGCTAGTTTCTAAGCTACATACACTAGCAAAGTAACATTAGCTTTTGTGGTTGAGCCGGGTTGATTAGATTCTTGGAAAGTGAATGTTAGGCTACCTAGGCAGCTATACGCTACATAGCAAGGAAAGGCCCTAAACACATTAAGAGCGGATGCATGGATCTTTCCCGTGCTGTGATATTTCCGGATTACAGAGCTTCTACCAAAATCCAGTAATATTTCCATATGCTGCTACTGAGTCCCTTGAATATCTAATGAGCTAATTAGAATTACGAAACACTAATAGATGAACAATAGCTACTATTCAACAGGGATCTCACTCTAATAACTATTTAAGGTGCAACGTGGTTGAGATTGATGAGATGCAGGCAAAGGGCGTGTCGCCACGGAAAATGAGCAATGATATAGCAGAGGCTCAGTCCAAGGGTATCCACATAGCCAGTTATACAATCAATCCTTAAGGCTATATTTGTGTTTCAAAATGTCTCCAACCTGGTGTATAGAGTTTCTTCCAACAAGAAATAACCGTTAGATAGGCCTCCCGGTGGGTTTTGGAGGTGCCCGATGATATTGTATTGGCCACTGTACGTTGACATCAAGTTCATGTGCCATACTTAGGGCTAAATCTCCCTCTCGAAGGAACTGCCTTGCCACCAGCACAATATCTGCCTTGGGATCCTCGCCCTCTTGAACTAGTGCTCTTGCAAAACTACCATCTCTAATCAGACCTACAGCGGCAATAAGCAGGTTGTGGCCATCAGCACGCACCGCATCGCGTATGCGACCGGCGATGTCCGTTTGAAAGGTTTGAGATATCTCGATGCGTTGTGCTGCGGCATTGCCACCAGTCGTTACATCGAGAACATCAACGCCTGCTGCTGGGAGCAGTTTGGCAAGGCGAATACTGCTTTCAATGTCCCAAGAAGGTTCTCCTGTATACTCGAGCCAGTCGGTAGCCGAGAGACGGACCCAGAGCGGTGTCGATGTAGGAATGGCCTCACGAATGGCTTCGATGACCTCAAATAAAAAACGGGTGCGGTTCTCAAAACTACCGCCGTACTCATCGGTGCGTTTCTAAAGTTCTCTTTAAGCATGAAATCTTGGTGACGTGGTGTGTTCTTGCAAGGGAGGTTGTATACTTACATTCGAGACAGGAGATAAGAAATTGTTTAAAAGAGCGCCATGAGAAGCGTGGATTTCGATCACATCAATTCCCGCTTTGATAGCACGTACGGCAGTGTCTTTCCACTTTTGTATCTGCTCCTTAATTTCCTGAACAGTCAACTGTTTTGGTACGGCATGATCATCCGCCCATGGGATTGGGCTCGGGCCAACCACATCATCTGGCCAACCACCAACATCCTCAGTTGCCAGCGACTTATTGGTACCGCTCGTCCATGTTGGCAGGAGGCTTGCCTTAACCCCTGCATGAGCGATCTGAATACCAATATGAGAGCCCTGGCTATGGATAAAGTCGGCAATGCGCTTGATTGGGGCAATCTGGTCATCGTTCCAGAGGCCAACATCATATGGGCTCCAGCGACCCCGTGGCTCAACAGCAGTAGTTTCAATAAAAACTAAACCAGCCCCCTTGAGCGCAAACTGACCCAAATGGACAAGATGAAAGTCCGTAGCATGTCCATCTTCTCCAGCGGAGTACATGCCCATGGGGGAAACACCAATGCGGTTGTGTATCTTAATCCCGCGCATCTGCAGTGGCTTATATAAAGTCGGAGCCGAGGCAAGATCAAGTGGAGTGCCAGCAGGAGGGTCCTGAGCCGGAGTGAAATAGGGGATATCCCCAGGGAACTTGTTACTGATTGTCATAATTGGTATAGTGCAAAGAGTATAGTAAGAGTACAGATTCAGACTGCGTCTTCGGCCTTATATCCTGTGATCACCAGGTGAGCTTCTTTGATCCTATATTATATAGAGAGATACGATTTAGAATATATGCTTATAAATTGCGAATTTATAAGCAAAAGAACTGAAAATAATACAATAAAAGCCGGCGCCTCATTCTATGGCCCAATGGAGCAAAACGAATGAGAAAAAAATGGGGAGTAGTAAATCTCCTCTTGGCAAGATTTACCAGGAGGCCCAAAAGAAGAAAACGCAAGGAGAGAGAAGTCTGACGCAATTATTATATGGCAGTGAGAAGAAAGGCGGCGCAGAGGGTAAATCCAATGTCTGCATAGTAGCCCTTGAAGAAGCGAATAGGCAGGCTAGTCTTAGATCGATCTTGATAGTACTAAGCACTAAGGGTAAGATCATACTTCCAATGGAATTTCGGAGAGCGAAGCATTGTCGGGATGTTGGTAATACTCAAATGGGGCAGAGATATAAGAACCATTGTAATATTTGTAGCTCTTCCTAGTAATATTATGATATGAGAAGAATTTATACAAGACATTCTCCTTGTCCTGAACAAACAATATTGGCATCCTGCATTGTGCTATAGTTCGTTTTCGCCTTGCTGCATTTCCAAAGGACCATTTCTACCGAAACCTAGCTCTCTTAAAGCCATCAAATTTAATCTTCGTTCACTCCGTATGAGCTCGGGATAACACAACCGGTACAGAGGATCAAACATAATCCCCTCATTTATAATATCAGGGCTCGGGCACACAGTGAAGATAAGGGCAACGGCGTCGTAGATATTTGGGTAAATATCGTCGCTCAGCAATTTAGTGAAGATGTCATATGTTATCGGCCCCTGTATGTTTCGTGTTTCATTTTGAGCCGTCTCTAAAATTTCACCAAGGCGCTGATTCGCCCAAGGAAACTCGTCAAACTGGGCCGTATGCTGAACAACCGTAAGCGATATGTCAAGGAGTGGAGTGAGAGCCTCCAGCGGAATAGTGAGGCTTGTCAATGGCGAAGGAGCCAGAGGCGAACAAAGCCCGGTCAGCAATTGGGACCAGCTTAACACGGCGGATTCTAGGGGTGTAAATGTGTATCATCGGTTCAATTGTGTTCAGAATATCAAGAACATCTCGCTGCAATGTGTATCGGGGCGAGAGAGTAATGGAGTTGTCAGTATCAAGTGGATTCCAAGGTTCAATGTCTGTCGCTAGTCCCCGAAAGAGGTATTCCAAAACTGGCAAATCCGTCTCACCCACCCTCTCTTTCCCGCGATCGAAAAGATGATCCTCTGGATCCCAGGATTGGAATATTTGGCTATGCCTGCCGCAGAGAAACGCAATCGCACGGACCCAAGATGTGAATGTTACCCTGGTTGGTCTGGATGCAGGTGAGGCTGCAGCGAAGGGCCACTCGGCGAAGTAGGTGATCAACATCCAGAGAGAAGAAGTGGCTTGTTTCAAGAGACCTTGAGTTTTTATATCTTGAGGCATCCGCCCTGAAAGGCAAGACTCGAGGGATTGTTTATCCCAACCTTGATGGGATTATTGTGAGCATTATAGATCTGCAGTTAAAAAGGACGGCAGAGCTCACATTTATCTGATCTAGCGTGCATAGCGAATGTTTCTTTCAACATTTCGACCTCCTCTGAGCAGAAAATACACCCATTATTCAGAATATTTTCAGTTAGATTGGTAAGTATTGAATCTAAAATATCAATCCGCATCATTAGTCTACCTATTACTCCAGTAATACTTAGGGTTTGCAACATCTCAACTAACCACGGGTACATGTTTTCAGCAATTTCTCGCGTTTCGCTTCCATCTCGGGCCAACACTGTAGTGAAATGGCCCCCAACCATGCAGGTGAAATGCCTCACCAACCCAGCCCAAGACCTTCCCAATGATAGGCATAATTTTGAGGATGGGAATGTTGATCGAGGATAAAAGTCGATAGATTTAATGTTGGTAAATCGAGCTTCCCACGGGCCAGTATATCTTGAGGTCGGGTACAAAAAAAAGACTGAAGGGAAGATACAGACGAGGAGGCAAATCGAGATGGATGTGCGTCTGTCTGCCACCCTGTATTGATAGGTATTTAGGCAGCTGTCAATCTCGCTTAATGTCGCTTACGTGTCTCGCGTGATTTCAAGTGTTGTTAGTCTGCTGGTATTGCATTCAATTCAGGACTTGAGACATGGATTATGGGACCCATTTCGGCTCATGCTCGGAATAAAGTTACCAGTTCTGCTGATGAAGGTTTTGAGCCTAGGTAGTCAGCTATGGCTAATGGGGATGTGGCAACGAGTTGTTGCATGGACCTAGTCGCTATGACGACTGGAGCCATGCCGTCTGGCTTCCGACCGGCGACTTTCCTAGATTATTCGCAGAAAGACTGAGGCATGATGGCCCAGGATAAGCCTTAGTCTGACTCGAAACTTCACGTGAAGATGGTAAGATGTAAAATTTACTAACGGCAAAGGCAAAGCTGCTGACTGGTTGCTGGTCGGAGACTTTGACAACGAGGAAAATGGTTAGACTCGGAGTCTTGGAGACTTTTCAGAAATGCGCCGAGCAAGTCCAAGCATATGATTGGACCGCGGTTATTTAGCTTCAAGGTGATTTGTCAACGCAATGTAGAAACCTAATAGTGGGTCTAAGATTTCGGTGCGAAGACATGCAACCCATCATAGATCACAGGTACTATAAGTATCAAGAGATGTAGCTTGGGACACAGAATAATTTCCTCCTCACCTTACACATCTACCCCATTTATCAGCATCAGCTTCACAACCGTCATCATCGTCCTCCACATTGGATTTCCTGATTCATAAATCCCAATATCCTCCATCATGATAGGAAAGCCCTGGCTTCTTTATGTGTATCCATGGATGCCTTTTCCTCGCCGAGTAACCATTTACCTCCGTGAAAAAGGCATCGGCCCATCTCTTGTGACTGTGGTCCCAGTCTCTGACCCTCAACTTGGCGACGAGGCCCCAAAGTCATTTCCTCCGCGTCCCGCAGGAAGTCTCCCCATCCTGGCAATCCCAGATTCGAAGTCTCCGGGCTCAGGCTCTTACACCTACGTTCGACAGTCAATTGCTATCATGAACTACCTCGACGAGCTTTGCGATGCCGGAGAGCAGGGGTTCCCAAAGTCACAATACTCGATGCGCGGCGAAGATGGGCTTAGCCGGGCCAAAGTAACCGGGCTCACGTGCTTGGCTGATGAGCTTACAGTTTCTTGGAACCCCGTGAGGACGTTTGGCACAAGAGCCGGAACTATGGCGCTCCCTGAAGCCTCCAAGGAAATGATACGCTGGCTTCATCGCACTCTAGCCACCATCGACGCCTCGTTTGAAGATCGCGACTTCTCCGGTCTTCGTGAGGGCGGGGAGCAAGGCCCGAACATGGCCGAAATTATCCTCTACCAGTTTCTAGAATTTACCAAAGATTGTTACGGCAAGGATATGACAAAGGGGCCTGGACACATGGAATTTGATGTATACGGGAGGAAAGAAGCTCCCACAGAGTATCCTAAGCTATCCCAGTTTTACGATGCATTCAAGACTAGGAAAAGCGCTGCTAGGGATGCATCTGCCGGTGAAGTTGCGGGAGAGCAAGCTCTAAAAGCCATGCACACCTGGTTGTGGAAATGAATGTGTAGACTAGTTAGTCTGGCGAGGCCCGGCCCGAACTCGTGTGATTCATTTCGAATATACTAAGTGGGCTTTTTTCAGGCCTCTGATAGGCAATAGGTAATTCGTTATAAAGTCGCACGTCTTTTCAGACAGTTTCTTAGACCTAAGTAGTATATAACAGAACGATAACGGATGAGGACTTGCAGTAGATATATATAGATTTGTGTAATCAGCTACATTGCTTCCTTACTAGCTCGAGTCATACATGTATTTTTGATGGTTCAGATATATTTATGTATTTGCAACTAACAAGAGTACACGATGCTCGCTTTTTCCATTTCATAAGCTTCCAAACTACTATATAAATGGGCACCGAAACAAATCACCTACAGTTGGGTAGATAATATGGACTTTGGTTGAGCTAGCACGAGTTGGTTGATCAGGTCATCTAAGTTCCATCATACTATAAACCATTTGTGATCATGACCGCTCACTACCACTGGAAACTCTCCTCAAAATACTCGATATGGGGCGAAGAACGCACCATCCTGGCTGCTACTGCATATCTACTCTCGTCGGCCATCCTGGCCGGGCCGCTTGTGACTACCGCAAGGCTTCCTTCCTGTCCGTCATTAAGGGCACCATCTATAGCTTCTTCGACATTTAACCGTTTAAACTTCCACTCTGCAAGGCGGCATATGCCTTCATCTTCGGTCCTTCTGCTATCAACACTAGTCACGTAGATGTTGATCTTGACTTGTCCACTGTTGAATGAACTACTAAGCTCATGACCAAGTACATCAACTGCTAGAGCACACTGACGTACTGCCCAGTGAATATGAATCAGTTTTGGTCTGCTCGGAGACCTTGTAAGCCTGTCAAGATACGAGAGTGGGACGGCAATTCCACTGCCTCCAACTATAAAAATCACCTTGCCGAACTGTTCTAAGTGTAGAGGCTTCCCATAAGGACCGTCAATAGCCACTCGGACTGTAGCTGGCTTTGGCCGCTGGGCGTCCGCATACTCCTTCAAGCGCAAAGTGAAACTATCATAAGGTCGGATCAAAAAGGTCATTTCTTGTTCAGACTTTCCCGACCAGCATCTCACCTCTTCAGAGGTAGTTGATGAGTAGTTCAACAAAGGCGACTGCTCGTTCAGGGATACTGCGTCGCATCGAGCCTCCCTTGACACCGATGCCACGGTGAATGGATGGCTCTCCCAAAAATTCCATTTGTTGAGCACCATGAGATAGTAAAATGTCCCAGGCTCGATGCTGTACAAACTTGATGACATTGGGACGACCATGCGAATCATATGTGCATCCTCGTTGTAGGCAATCCGGGCCTTTGCGTTCCAGAACTGTGGGCTAAAGGCGACGATCCGCGCACCGCGTACAACCCGGTCCAGTACCCATATCATGACCGGAACCCACACGAGAGCATCATAATCGCCTTTGAATATTGACACATGCCTGGGAGGTAGTTAGCCCTCAAGCCACAATTGCCTTGTGCCATAAGACTCACCCCAGCATAGTTATGAGAACCAATATCGATAAGACTATGTGAAGTATGAGGAAGACCTCGTATTGCCTACGCCGAAGCCAATAGACTGATAGGCCGACAAGAGAACACATGAAAATTGTTGCCTGTCAAAGAGTCAATTACGGAATCTAGCAGAGAGTTAGATAACTCACCAACTCCCCAGTCCACCAATACGTCATCTTGCACATCCGCCAAAAGTAGTCCCAACCGCCCCCTACAAATGGTCAAAGACAGCTCTTTCAACGGCACATATGGGATCTTACTTTGTAGAATTAGGGCTGTGTATCCCACCGAGTGGACAATGGCTTGCAGGGCGGCAAGCCGACCTACCCAGCGGTGAAAATTGTTGTATGTTTTGAAATCCCAGCCTGTCAGCCAGATGACCACGTTATTTCTCATTCCAAAGAGCCATATGAGGGGAAAGTTTGCAAACGAAATAATGCCCGTTCTATCAGAGACGTGTCGGAGGATTTGCATTCCTATAGTCGGATAGCTTGCGCGTATTTCTTTTAGTAAAGGATCAACAAAAAAGTACCACAACAGCTGGCGGACTCACTAGCCGTAACCCTCGAAGAACCTGTACCCATGCACGGAGCACACGATGTTGATGAGCACAAACAACGTCAGAGTCAATGTCTGCACACGTGGAGGCAAAGTGCCCCAGCCACCAAAGTCCTGGACACAACGCCGGCCAAAAGTGGCTGGCGCCAGAATATTGCGTTTGAACCAAACGTGTCTTCGTTGCTGGGTCCAAGACGCTCGAGGTCTACAAGCCTCCCATTTCAAGAGCGCTCGATTTACAACTCCGACTGCGACAACCACTGCCCAGAAGATTCCCATTGCCCAACCGTAATAATAGTGGTTATTGTTGGTTCAATATCGGGTTATGAGGCGCGCGCTGCTACAGTCACCTGACTAGGCACGTAATCCCGCGCGCATTTATAACCAATACGTAGGTTAGCTAGCTAGAGATTAAAGAGATCATCCCTAATTACTCATATTATTAAACCCCCGTATCTTGAGCTTAAAGGTACAGCCCGGCTATAAGATCTAGGCTTATATAAGTAGGTAAATTACTGAGTTAAACTAATACTAATCAGTATTATACTTAAATATATAATACAGACCGGTAAGAGAGGTAAATATAGGATCAATCTAATATAATACCTCTAGATAGTACCTTAGCTCTTTCTGAAGGTTTAATTAGTAATTATAAGAGTTATATTATTTCTAAAATATCCTCTACCTTTATATTTACTGAGCTTTAGCTCCTTAGAATACCTTAATAAGTAATTATAAGAGATATATTATTTCTAAAATATCCTCTTTCCTTATAACTACTTAATAATAGAACTTATAATACCTGTTATATAATCTTTAAGAGTACTATTTATATATAAGAGGTAATTAGAACTCTTAGCTTTAAAAGATTAATAAAAATAATAATATAAGTAATAATAAAGTAGCTATAATAGCTACTACTAAGCAAGCTTAAAAGAATAAATAAGAGATAAGAATAGAGCTTAATAGAGCTATTAAGCTCTATAAACTCCTAATCCTAGTAAATAGTATTATCTAAATACTAAATATAGAATTCTTCTATAATATAAGTTATAAGCTTAATAGCTCTTATAATACTATAAATAAAAATATAAAGAATATTTAGATAATAAAGATAATATATATATAGTATAATAGAAGAGAAATAGTACTATTTAAATACTTCTATAAGAACTTTAAAAATTAGACTATAGAGAGTTTTAAAAACTATTATAAGGTAATCCTAAAAGTACTTAAGAGATAATTATAATATAGAGGAATTCTAATCCCTAGAAAAGCTAAATTAAAGATTATACTTATTTTAGTAGAAATTCTTATATAGGAAGAGTTTTTATTATCTCTAGATAATACTTTAGAAAGTAGTAATTATAATAATAAAGAGCTTTTAAAAGTAAATAATAAGAGGGCCTCTAAGAATAGATAAATAGATAATAGTAAGATATCTAACTTTACCCCTATACTATAAAACTATTAAAAGAACCTATAAGAGAGTAATAATTAGATATAATAACCTATAAAGTAAGCTTTTAGCTTATAAGGAACCTACTAATCTAAAGCTTATAATAACTTTAAAATAGGGAATAAGATAGAGATTATAGGAGCTAATAATCTCCTATAGCCTTAGTAATACTAATAGGGAGATTATAGGAGAAGGTATATAACCTAATTAAAGAGCCTATTAGCCCCAGGGTAGTACTATACTCTTCCGCTTAAAGCTATAGCTAATAGAGAGATTAATAATATAGATATTAAGGTATTTATTAATATATAGAATAAAAAGAATAACTATATAGGAGAGCTTTATAATATCCTTAACTATAAAGTAAGGATTTTTATAGATATCTATAAGCTCTTATAGATATAGTATTTAAAGCTATATATACTCTTTCTATATATCCTATTAAAGTATATATAGGAGTACTTCCTTAACTATATAAACTATAGTATAAGATTTAACTAAATATATAGAAAGCTTAAGGAAGAATTTAACTCTAATATTAATAGAACCTAATATTACTTAGATTAAAGTTCTATAATATTCAGATTAATATAAGTAGAGAGTAAAAATACAGATAAGTCCTAGATAGAAGTACTTAAGATCCTTCTAGATAGACTATAAAAGTACTAATAAGTACTTAGTTCAGCCTATAAGAATAAGATTTACCTGGTTACTAATACCCTCCGAGCTATATAAGGAGTTCCAGAGCTAAAGATAGTACTAATAAACCTATAGAGAGTATTTAATTTACTCTCCTTTTAGCTCCTTAGTATAATAAAAGTTAAAGAGAATATAACTATACTAGGTTACTTTATAACAGATAGGAGATTCCAGGAGTTTAATTAGAGAAATTAGAGAACTAAATATAGAAGAGATTAAGAGAATTTCAGTAGATCTAATAGAAGCTTCTAAAGAAGAGACTTATATCTAAGATATAGAGATTAAGGGTTTTATAACTAAGCTATAAGAAAGTATTAGATCTATAGTAGAATAGACTATAAATCTATAAATTATATATTTAAGAAGTAGAAGAGATTAAGGGAATAGTAGAGAGATTAGTAGGAAGCTTAAGGATAAAAAAGGGGTAGCTTTATATAGTTTCTTACCTAAGTTAAACTACCTAAAGAGAAAGAGAGTAATTAACTTATAGACTATAAGCTCTCTAAGAATAAGGAATTAGAGAAGGATAAGTATAAGAGTAGTATAATAGTCTATTTTCTTACTAATCAGTTTTTTAAGTATAAGTTATAAGCTAATATAGAAGGAAAACCAAATATACCTCTATCTATACCTTTTAATCAGATCTTTATATTATATCTAATTAATAGTATAACTAGTTAGTTTAGAATTATCCTAGATATAGAAGTAGTAGAGATTTTAATAGCTAGAATTAACTAAATAAAAGCTCTTCTATATATATAACCTAATCTATATATTAATAAAGATAAAGCTAGGGGTTAAGTATACTTTAGAGTAGGAGAACTACTTAAGGTGATTAGTATAGTAATTATATCTATACTAATAGGTAATATTCCTTTCTATATAATTCTAATAGATACCCCTTTTCTATTATATATTAAGAATATAGATACTCTTAGTATATATCTAGATAATATCCGGAATAAGCTTATAAAGTATAGTAGGAAGCCTGCTATATATATACTAGTAATTAGGAAATAGAGCTATCCCTAGTTCTTTCTTAATAATAAGCTATATATATAGATATATATATACCTTATTAAAGAGTAGAGTAAAAAAGCTATTAAACTAATAGAGATCTAGCTCTAGTATATATACCAGAGGTTTAATTATCTCTCTATTAATAAGCTATAGAACCTTCTTAAGAAAGCAGGTATAAAGACTAATAGGAGTACCCTAGAGCTAATAAATAATATATACTATTACTATCAGATTAAAAGGAAAGCCCTCTAATACTTTAAATTTATCTTAAAGGATAATATTAACTTTAATTATAAAATTATTATTAATATTATATATATTAGTAGAAAGTCTATATTATATATAATTAATATAAGTACTAGATACTAGATAGTAAGGTTCCTAGAGGATCTTATAGCTATAAATATATAGTTAGCTTTAAAGAGATACTAGCTAGATATCTATCTCAAACCCCCTGATATTATAAGCTTTAATATAGGTATAAGCTTTATAGTAGCTAAGTTTAAAGGAGAGATAATACTTATAGGGATAATATACTATCAGATCCCTATAAAGGCTTATTAGAGTATAGAAAAGCTCGAGTACTATTATATACCCTTAAAGAGGGTATATAAGATTATAGAAGCTAAGTATCTAGAGGTTAAAAAGGAATATCTACTCTAAGGAGTAGTAAAAACTATAAATAATACAGTAGGGCTTAATAGCTTAGTATCTATACTACTTATATTTAGAGTAATACTAAAGATTATAATAGGTATAAGATCTATAGTAAGCTAACTATAGTATACCAGAGTAATTAGTAAAGTAATAATAGAGCTCTATAAGATTATAGTAAAAAGGAAGATTAATAATACTCTAAATATAAGGAATAGTCCAGATAAAGAAGGGATACTTCTATAATTACTTATATTAGGAAGTAAAGTTACTATATAGTATAAAAAAAAGGGTTAGATTATCTCTTTTTATATTCTTACTATAATAGATAAAGTAGTTATAGTTAATATAGTTAATAGCCTAGCAGAGTTCAGAAGTACTTATATTAAGCTATATAACTACTCAGAAGAATAACTAGCTAAAGAGAAGCTAGAGCTATTTATATATCCAGAGGTTATACAGCTAAGGCTATAAAGCAGACTAAAAAGAGTAAAGGAAGTAGTTAACTATAAGATATTAGCTTAAGGAGCTATTATAAAGTAATTTATAAGTACTAAAAAGTAATAAAGCTATAAGCTTACTATTAAATACTATAATAAAGAGTATATTATAACCTCTGGAAAGCTCTTTAAATAGTTAGACTAGAAGGAAATTAACTCTCTTCTTACTATAGAAATAATTATTCTGATTAGATATATAGCTATTCTAAATATAAAGCTCTTTAGCTACTATCTTATAAGAGAGATTAAAAGTATAAAGGAGGTACTATATAAAAAGTTAAGACTAGTTATATAAAGCTATAGTAACTAGGAGAAGATAATACTCCTTATATAATCCCTAATAATTATAAGATATAGCTAATAGCTAATTTTAGTAATTATAGCTATACTTTAATAGATAGGAATATAGCTAATACTCTAGAATATTAATTAAACTTATATCTAAAGTATAATTAAGCTATTATATAATATAGTATTAAATATCCTAAAGAAGCTAAGAGGTTATTATCCAGAAGGAATTATATTCCAGATAGTAAAGCTCTTTTATAGTATAGCTAAAGCTAGCTTTTACTAGTTTATAACCTATTAGGAGTACTATAAGTAGTGATTATACTATATCTAATCCAGCTATAATCTATACCTACTCCTAATAAGAGCTAGAAGGAGCTTTAGGATTATAGGGATATAAATAGATAATACTTTTAACCTTAGAGAGTAAGAGTTTATTAAGTTAGAGAAAGTAGAGCTCCTAAGAGTAGACTTTAAAATAAAACCAGTTTATATACTTACTTTAGGATTAGAGGGATCTTTTAATAGCTGTATAATAAAGGTATTTAAAGAGATAATTAAAATATATTAAAAGAACTAAGTAGATTATCTTAGGCTTATAGCTATAGAGTAAGAGATTATAGAAGAACTCTATATAGTATAGAGGGCCTGGGGAATAT